GAACTGCTGCAGAGTCTATGACATAAGGCTTATGAAAGCTATTAAGGTACTTGTTGCATCAAAATTCGTACTCCCTCCTGGAGTCATAAATCTGTCAAATCTCAATATGCAGACATTTATATTCTATGTGACTTACATTTCCCAAGGACTTCATTAGCTCCAAAAATATGCTCCTTGAGATCTAGAACTTGCCTGAGAATTATCACATTTTAAAATCTTCTTCCATATCAAAGTAATCCTGTGACAGCTGTCTGTATATCCATGGGTACACTGTAAACAAGAACTGTAAATGACTCATTTGGCATACTTTTAGTGGTGCCAGTTTGCCAGAGTTTAAACAAAAGTGGGTTAAAAGAAATGGGGTACAAATGCAGCCCACAGCTAATACTTCCTGTTTACATTCCACAAAGCGCCCAAATTATGAGCACTGTTGTTCCAAAAGTTAGAGCATGATTATCCCCAAATCAAAATAATACAAAGACTGTCAACATTGTTCCTATATACCTGGAACAATGACACTCTATTCATATACATATATTTGCTCTGTTATTAAAACGTGGACGTATTATCGACCAAAAAGTCAACAGTGTCCTACTTTGAAAACCCATGGGTTACTGATATAGAATATTCATACTGTAAACCAAACAAAATGTGCTTTACCCGTTCCAAAATACAGTTACAAGGTGATTTTCTGACTGTGAAATAGGATGTTTTGAGTGGCTGCAGTGACATTCTCATGAGGCTGTTTCCAAATCAGTTCCATGCCAAGTAGCTATAATGGGGAAAAAACTGAGACTAGAACATGTCAAATTGTTTATTCAGGGGTTTTTTGAACTAAATACTGCATGTACATTGTACAAAGGGCTAAAATGCAATAAAAATAAATAAGAACAAAAATATGCTCCTTTTCTGTTCATTCTCTTGCAACAGCATCGTCTCTTTGCAGTAGATGTGTGGAAATTTTTTGTCACTGTCTTTGTGTTGCTGCTTTGTCAGAGTTACCATGGGACCAGCCCACTGAGACCTGTCAAGAGTACTCAGATTGGATTCAAAAGAAAACCTATCTACCTCCTTGGAAGAAAATACAACCAGTGCCTCTTAGTATGTTTCAAATTGTTTGTTTCAAAAGTTTAAATCCATTTTTTTTTTTTTCGAAATGGTCTTGGAGCTTTATTTCATTCACATGCAACTCCTCTTCAGGTTTGTTGTCCAAATTACTGCTGGCCAGTCCAGATGCACGCATCAGCATCACAGACATACAGAAAGACCGCTGGTTTACTCAAGGCAAGTCTCAGTATCGGTATAACAAAATCAATTCAACTGACTGCTAAATGTTCACTGGGCTGATTTCTGTCTGTGCTTCTCTGCAGCTGTAAAACAGCCACCAGGTTCTCTGGGCTCAGGAGGAAACAAACTCCTTCGATCAGATGTGGGACTCAAATCCCGTTCCAACAGGTTGTTTTATTTATTTATTTTGTGTTTCTTACTCTTTAAAGCGGCCTTGAGTACCTTGAAAGGCGGTATAAAAATCTAAGTTATTATTATTATTATTATTATTAGAGCTTCCCTTTTTTCTTATTTGAACTCAAAGGTGTATTTCTTTTCATGCCTATAATCTTAAAACCACATTCCTCCCTCTGTAGTGATGACAGGATGCAGTTTTCCAGCTCTCAGCCTGACCTCGCAGCAGGTGGCTGGGAAGCCATGTTGTTAATCAGTCAGACTGACGGTCAAGTCAGCTTCTCCCAGCCGACCAAGCCGGAGCACATGCTGCTGGGTAGTCAACTACTGGGCACGCCAGGAGCCAGTCAGGTAGGTCACATACCCTGCATCTATTTGTGTTTTGTTTTATAATACCTGTGACAATGTGTGTGAATGTTCAACATGTCCTGTTGTGTAATTGCTTCTTCTGCTCTCCATTCAAATGTATCAAAATCTATACAAAGCATATTAATGTGTAATGAACTCCCAGCTTTAACGTACCTAGATTGATGCAAATAACGCTGTCAGTTATTTCATGTCTTAACCACTTCTTCTTATTCTGTTTGTGTAGTCGCCGTGGCAGAGATTAGTGCGGCGAATGACGCGTTTCTTCACTGCTGTGAACGCTGATGCATCATTATCTGCCCTGAAAGACACCTGTGACGGCCTGGCACTTGGCTTCAAGCTCACCTGCGCCAAACAGGTACATCTGTGCTCGAATATACAGGATTCAGATATTTACAGAGGTTAAATACATAATGAGCAACGATAACACCACCTGGACCACACAACCAGGCTACCTGTTTCAGCGGCCACTAGTATTAACACACAATCCTTCAGCAGCCACTACAGACCATAATGCACTTTAGTATAATGAACCTCTCTCTGCCCTTTAGGTGACGGTGAGCACCCTGGACAAGCGCAATAACAAGCTCATCTTCAAAGTCCATTTGCTAGAGATGAATCAGAGAGTGCTGCTGGACTTCAGACTGTCTAAGGTGGGTTTTAGTATTTCATAAGTGTGTAATGTTTCTAATGAATAATCCATTACTGCATTAAAGTTGAGATAATAGTTTATGTGAATATGCATTTTTCCTTTATAAGCCTAGTGCAAATCTAGGTAGAGGAGGATTTCAAAGAGTGGCACTAATGATCGACTGATGTGGGTTTTTCAACGGCCAATGCCAATGCCAATATTTAGGGAGCAGGGTGGCCGATGGCCTTTATTTTTTATTTGTTTTTTTTTTGTTTTTTTAATCTGATAAAATATAAGAATTTTGTAACAATGACAAATAAGACACAAAATTGCGTGAAACATAAATGAACATTTATTTAACACTGTTGTTTACACTTACATGTCCACAGGTAAACTTGTAAAAAAAAAAAAAAAAAAAGTTATGAATGAAAAATGAATAACGTTGCACTTGAGAGAGAACAGCCAAAGCAACAAACTCACGAATCACAAAGCTAATGTTACCGTTACCAAAGACATCCACATTCACTCCCTCATTGGATCTTATCTGTGACAGCTGCCAGTGATGAATTCAATATAAATAACTAATTAAAAGCATTGCTGACCTGAAAGTCTGCATTTTATAATGCTACAACTGCCCTTGCTGTTCTTTGTTTGTAGTATTTTCTGCAACTAACCAGAATCTCCTAGTTACTCAGTAGACAATCTCCTTTATGATGACACTGGCACGTTCATGCCTCATGTTCATGAATTGTCATGTGATGTGCATTTTCAGGTGTGTTAGTATGGACAGATTTTTTTCTGACACAGAGCTAAAATGGCCGTCCGGACAGGATCATTTTAGTGTGGACGTAACCTTTGTAGTCTCCTGTATTGAGGCAATATGACTTCATGCTTACACATCCTTGTTCATATGTAAAAAGTTTAACTAACATAATGTGCCACAATGTGAAAGTTATCCTCTAATGAGGTTGGTCTACGATTACATTTCACTCATTGCATGAGAGCATGTTTTCGTCCGAGAGATGTTGACGTGTCTGTGTGTCTTTTCAGGGTGACGGTCTGGAGTTTAAACGTCTCTTTGTGAAGATAAAACAAAAGCTTGGTGACATCATCAGCACTCAGAAGGTTTTACTTCCCATCACATGAGCAGCCTCGGCCTCACGGTTTCTGGTGTCTACTGCCATTGACATTGGAGAGAAAACCTGTATATATTTATTTGTTCTACTGATGTTTTAAATGTGATCTGTTGTTTTCTGTGTGTGTTCTGGTTCTTGTTTTCATGTACTTCTATCATGTGAGAGAAGTGAAGTGTTTTATATCAGTAGGAATGACATCTTTTGAAAACCTTGGTCATTGCAGCCACTTCTCACTTGTTAAAGGAGCAATAATGTTCAGTTTGCTGTTAGAATCAAGATCAAAACCTTCAGGTTGGTGTGTGTGTGTGTGTGTGTGTACTACTACTTTGTCACTCAACCTGTGTGTGTGTGTGTGTGTGTTGTGTGTGTGTGTGTGGTTGTGGTGTGTGTGTGTGTGTTGTGTGTGTGTGTGTGTGTGTGTGTGTGTGTGTGTGTGTGTGTGTGTGTGTGTGTGTGTGTGTGTGTGTTTCCATGTTATGTCTATGAGAAGTTGTTGATGATACAGTCCGAAGTCTTGAATAAATTATCAAAAGACCAGCATTGCACCCTAAAGGTTTTGTGATGAATGATAAATGCACACAATGAGGATGACCACTGATGAGGAGAAGAATAATTTTAGGGTATGAGCCCAGATTTAGCCAGTATCCATGTTAATATAAAAGTTTTCCTTTTTTAAAAAACAAAAACACTCCTGACAGCTGAGCAGTATACATTCATATCATTTAATGTAGAAGTGAACTGAACCCTTACGTCCATGCTTCAAATGATGGTATGACCAAGTTTTGTAGTGAAAGATACATGAGGACACCTTGCAACTGTTATTATAGTTGAGTTGAGATCACAAGCTGCACATACGGAAATGACAGTGCAAACTAACTGTCTACAAAAGCGGGAATTCCAGGTTAAATTACAACTGTGGGAGTCTGTGATAAATGATTATGAGCCCGTAGCCTTGACGGTGATGGTGACGCTGACAGGCTCGTTATCATCTCCAGGGGAAGGTGCTTGGCTGGTGGGGGTGGTGGCACTCAGGGGTGAGGTGGTGAGGGGTGAAGCTGCCCGGGGTAAAGCCATGGCTGGACCTGGAAGAGACCAGCATCAAGGTTCAGCATCATGGTAGATGAACGATAAGATTTTTTGAAACGCACTTCTCATAAAATCATCAGTTTCCACAAAACTTAAAATACTTTGAAAAAGCGTGGAATCATCAAGTTTTGTTTAACTATGACAGATCAAAGTAAGATTTTTTATTATTAAACCCTGCTCAACTAAAGTACATTCCCCTCAGCTGATATTGTGCCTGTTTAGATCTCCTCTCAGGACTGTAGTCATATACAGACTGTTAGTTGGCAGGATGTGATGTCACGTAGCTGCAACAACAACTTTTTGACCGCAGACAGAGCATGCGGTGTATCTGTTGGCGGTGTGAGCACATCGGCGCAGTCAAAGTAAGCACAAAGAACTCTGAGCGCAGCAAGGTGGACTCGACACAGTACAGGTAAGCTTGGTGACCTGTGGTGATGACCGTGTCCAGCATGTGGCTTTGTCCGGTATGTGTAACTCGAGGAATCACTGGTCTACTCCAGCAGGTGAACCAGCGCGCAGCTGGACACATGGTCACGGAGTCCGAGCCTCTCCCACAGGCATCTCCACGCTGAGTGACCGGAGAGGTTGCAAAGAACCGACGCTTGAATCATCGCATCGTCTTTCTCGATCCCAAAGTGGTAAAAGAACTCAAAATAAGGTGAGGACACAATATCCGGAAACGTCGAAATAATCGTGTGGTAAATATTTATACTCATGTACTCTTATTTTTGCTAATTTATTTTTTTTTATCAGCCATTCAAATGATGCAAGTTTAACCACTTATTTATGTTATCATTAAAGCCATAATCATTATTTATATATATATATATATATATATATATATGTGTATATATATATATGTGTATATATATATATATGTGTGTATATATATATATGTATATATATGTATATATGTATATATATATATGTATATATGTATATATGTATATATATATATATATATATATATATATGTATATATAGAAGCAGACTACAATATAATGGTGTATACAGTCAGATGCTACTGACACTGACGTTTCAAAGTATGAATTTTGACCCTGTTGACCACCAGACCCTTCCAGGTGTTACTGGTGACAAACCTGGATTCACCCCAGCCACTGCAGGAAGGCAGCGGGGAGCCCTGAGGAGTGGGACACGCGGATGCCAGAAGGACAGCAGGTCTCTGCGGACAGGCAGAGCAGCAAAGGCTTAGCCCAGCCTGTGCAGTGAAGAAAAGCAACAGACACAGACTGTCTGCAACACTGAAGCAGTCAAGAGCAAGCAGCCCCAACAAGAGTAACCTTAACTGGATGTTTAAAAATCCACTGATTACTCCGACAGAAGAGAAAAACCTGTATAAGGAGGAGTGAGAAGAAAAGGGAAGTATTGCAATACCCCATATTACTCCCACAGACATAGAGAGACCTTTTTCCATGAGCATCACATAATAGGAACAGGAACCAATTCCTGGAAAACAGTGTGTGTAGCTCATTACTACTGAAACTATTTAATACTTGAATATAATATAAACACTTGGGCACACACTGTTGTACTCTGTTCTATTCCATCCTCGGCACCAGCAGTTCATTATCACAGGTTTCATCAGAATAGAGCATTCGCTCAACAGCTTATACTGGTGACGTCTCAAACTTTACACTTGTGGTGGAATAAAATGGCAAGACCAGGAGTAAGATTATGGTGTCAGAGTGCATGCGTTACCCTGATGCCAGACAATTCAGATAAAATTGAAAGTATTCTAAAAGAAATGAAGAAGATTGCTAATTCTCTTGCTCCATCAAAGTCTAGTGATAGTTTTACCAGCTGGCTGGAAAAAAACCTGGGACCTTGGGGCCTGCCGATAGCCGTGATTCTAATACTGTTTCTCCTCGGGCTGGGTGTATCTATCTGTTGTCTGATTCACAGACGGAAACGGAGGGAAGCAGGACAATTCCCTTTATTGAACAATAATCAAGTCATTGTAAGAGTAGACTTGCAAGAAGTGTAAATGTGAAGTAAACCTCTGAGCTTGCTCAGAATATATATATATGTTAGCAAAAAAAAATGCAAGAGGGAAATTATAGTTTATTCTTTATAAAGATTAATGTTGTGAAATATGTGTTGCAGAGAACTGTCATGTAGCTGTGTGACCATTCTCTGACCACTGTCCTAAACTGACCGTTGTTTGACCGCTCACCTGAGCTGCATCCTGTTTCAATAGGGAATTGATCCCCATGAATCTCAGCTGGTAGTGAACCAGGCAAAAAAAGGTGATAGAAATCTGAAGGAAACAGGAAGCTCCTCACTAGCCCAGTTTGCCAAAGACTAGAGTGAGGCAGAAAAATAAAATCGGCAAATAAGGCATTCAGGATGCATCTCGGGACGGGCGGGCTAAATGTATATAATCCATGTGTAACTGTTGTTTGGGGCTCTTCATCCCTGAGTGATGCAGGGTCCGTATGCATACGTTTTGGAATAAAGCAGAAGAAAGGCAGAATTGTATTGGTGTGTTTGGAAAACATCTTACCTTAATTAGTCTACTACTCCCCCCAGTAGGGGGACATGATAAAAAGTAATTTAAAGACACCAAAAAGTCTCAAAATATTTATGTCCTACTGAGTGTGGAAACCCTGACATTTATATAAATGTGTGTTTGATGTGGGTTCATCTTGCCTGGGCTGGATGATCCACCAATATCCTCTATTCCTCCCTCTGACCCTCCTACCACTTCATCCTCTGGGAAGTTGATGTTTTCCCTCGACTGGCTGTGCTGCCTGGACACACCATAACAAAAAACACTTTTAATGGCATGTCTACACACTTAATCACTTGTCCACATCATTAGAAACTGCTAATTTTTCATTGTTGGTGCTATACGGTGCATAAACAGGTATACAGATACTCACAAGCCAAACAGCATGTCATGTAGTCCTGTGGGGATAGGAACATAGAACATTAATGCCACATAACGGGGCAAATGCTTCATTCTAGAAGTCATCAGGATGTTGCTGATTGTGTGCAGAACTCACGAGGATTGTTGTTGCGGTTGCGGATAATGTACACGAGCAGCAGCGCCGTGATGATGGCTGCAAAGAGCATCCCGCCTATAGCTGCTCCAATCACAGCAGGGTACATGTTGTAGCGTGGTTCCGCTGCAACACATCACAGTTACACATTGCAAAACAGTACACCTCTGACATAACGCGCCTTTTTTTCCATCATGTTTCATCTCTGTCAAGTGGTTCTCAACCCATGTCTTGTTGTTGCAGCACGACATACAGCAAATTCACAAATGATTGGAAATGCGTTCACTGTGGAAGCCAGGATACAAGAAATGGGAGGAAGTTTGGCTGACAAAAATCATGAAGTTAAAGCAAGACTATGTAACTTTTAAAAGAAGGAAAAACACATTTGTCCTGTCCTGTGGTTTTGATGCTACTACCTTACTTGGCCTGGTATGACCAGTAGCTTATGATGGCTAATGTTAGCAAATTTTAGGCAGGTATTATTTAACTGACATTACGGAGTCAGGTCACTGATGTATGACTAATTTTCTTGTGGTACTACTGCACTGTTTTAGCATTTTTATCCCATAATTTTCACTTTTAGCTACAGAGACTGTTGTCCAACAAAAGTTACATAGGCTCACTTTAAAGTAAACCATGTTTCCTGATACATCAACAATACAAGGGTTGAAAACCACTGGCCTATCCTACCTTGAAACCTGCCTTTCTATATCCTAAACACCTGGATTGGTTTGACCAGATCCTACTATACATGGCACAATTAACACAAAGAATTTACAAGAAGAAGCACACAGGGCCAGTTCGAGGACAGGTAAGGAAGGAGGTAAAGAGGAAGTGACTGGGAGATGTGAAGCGGTGAGATGTATGTAATTGTATGTGTTTTTTGTTGTTTGTGTATGAGTCTTTCACCTAAGTGGATAACACAAAAAGAAAAACAAAAATGTTAGACTGTCATCAAAGTCACTGTAACAGCAATCAGAGCAATATACGAGCATCAACAATTTTGAATAATCACCTAACTCACCGGCCACCTTGTTTAAGACATCCCTAACTCAAGTCCCTGTGTTTGTTCAGTTCTCTGCTGAAAATCTGACCACACTTTCCTCACTATGTTTACATACTATACCTGGAGTCTTTGGTGCAGAAGGGTGTCCGATGGTGCGGTGGTTGATGGGCGTGATGCGGAACTGGTAGGTAACGGTCGGGGTCAGTCTCCCTACTGTATGACTCCTGACTTCTGGGTCCTGGATGATGTTACGGTACCAGACTTGTGGACCAATCCTCTCCTCCACCTCCTCTTTTGAACCATTGCTGCTGCCTCTCCTTCCTGGTCTCTCTGACACCAATCTGTGCTCCAGGATGAAACCTGTCCAACCTCCTTGTTCCTCGTTCTGTACCTGCCACTCCAGCTCCACCTCGTTACGCTGCCGGCCGTTGTACATCACTTTGATCAGGGTGGCATTGGGTGGCATGGGGTGCCCTGATAAAAAGCAAAAACACAACCAAATGTATTGCTACGAAAATTTTAACAGAATTTGGTGATCCCTTCATGTTTTGTCAAGTACCACTAACAGGTCAAAACTTTTATTTGTCCAGTACTTGTTTCAGTACCAAATTCCAGTCGTCAATTCCGCCCTAAGTATTTAGTGTTAATTAGCTTGTTAGCTGCTTGACTCCACTGCTGCCTGACAAGATGTTATAAAATCACTGCACACCTAAAATAAATAGTCCAATACAATTACCTCTGTAAACCACAACTGGCCATTTATACATTTAGATTTTGTATGCCAGTCTACCTTTTGTCCCTCATTTCTGGTCTTTATGCTAAGCTAAGCTAATCAACTGCTGGCTAAAGCATCATATTTATCATACAAACATGAGTCTTCTCAACTTCCTAACTAACTCCCTGCAAGAAAGCAGTTAAATGAAATGTCAAACTACTCTTTCAAAAAGCTACAACAACATGGATTTAAAAAAAGAGAAAGAAAAGAAACAATTTCTTACTCTTGACCACTAAAGTGACATTGATTTCAGTTCCTCCCACTGCGTTGGAGGTGGTGCATCTGTATTCGCCACTGTCTTGAGTCTCATCCGTGTCTCTCACAGTCAGATTGGCCCATGCAGATGTTCGCAGCAGCGTGTACTTCAAGGTGTCTTGGATGTCCACACCCTGATTGTTGAACCAGGTGATTTCACTGACGGGAAGATAGTTGGCTCTCAGGTTGCAGGTGAGCTGGACATCGCTCCCCTCGTATACAGACACGACTCTTCGCTGAGTCAGCAACACAGGGGCCTCTATGGGTGACAAGTAAATATATAAATGAGTTAATTAACAAACCATATCTGCTATTTGTTGTAAGGTGTCTGTTTCTGACAACGTGCACTGACCCAGTGTGAGCCTACAGGTCTTGGTCTGGACCAGAAGTGGATGTTTAGCATGGCAGGTGTAGGGCTTCCCGCTACGGGCAGTGCCGTAGCGAAGGATGAGGATGTTTGAGTTTTCTTGCCCGCCTTTGCCCTGGCCCCCCGGGCCCTCCCACCACACCAAGGCCTTTGGGGCCCCTCCATCCCAGGAGCAGGACAGCATCAAATACTGCCGGTTGTTAGTCACATAGGCAAAACACACTGGCAGTGCAGGTGGAACATCTGGTGGAGGGGAAGAGGTTGAAGGGACGTGTAAGAGGTTTGTAGACCAGTGAACATATAAAACCAAACCTGTGTCTGTTCCTCTTAGTGATTCTCACATGTGCGTGTGCTGCACTCAGTTGACTGTTTGAGTGCGGGGTGGGAGCCCATGCATGTGAACAAGCTGTTGTTGGACTTCAGGCCTTCAGACGGCAGCAAGATGGCAGTGCTGCTCAGTGGATTTGTTTGCTGCCCTGTGTCAGCCTCCTCCTGTCCCAGTCGTTTTAGGTCTCCAGTCCAGCGGATGGATGCGGAGGGGAATCCACCAGGCCAGGAGCAAAGCAGTCTCAGAGAGGTGTGATTCAGAGCCGGCTGCACAGAACAGGAGGGGGGGCCATCGGGTGGGTCTGTGGGAATAAAATACAGCGTAACGAGGCAGTGGTGTGTAAGATGGGGGTTATGTGAGGTCATCAGAGCCAAAGAAAGTGCCTGTGGGCCTAGTATATACGTATTTAGGATGTTTGTTAAGAATCATCTTACAAGAATTATAAAAGAACAATGTGCTTTTCATTAGTTTTCTTTTTACTTGCAACCTTTTCTCATGATAGAGCTGGCTAACACAGGCAAATGTCAAGTCAGCACTACAGGGCCTGTTTTTTCTAATTTGAAAGATGAAAGGCAATGGTCTCTAACGCTCTTGGGTGATAAATTGTGGATCAGATATATGATCTGAGTATCTGCCAGAACAGCAGAAACTCTGCAAAACCAAACAGGAGAGTGAAATGACAAGTACTGGCTTTCTAGCCAACCAACACTTGCCATGGCTGTGACATCACAGCGAGGTACCTGCCAGAGAGTCCCATCAACAGTCCCTTAGACGGCCCGAACAGGAGAATAGGTCTGCAGCACTTCCACACTCTGCTGTGTGTTGGTGTGTTGGTGTATGAGTGCATTTGCATGTGCATTTTTTGATGTGTTTTGAAGTCTTAGTGAGTATGCACAGCTTGAAATATGAGAATTGATGTACTGAATGGAGAAAGAATGTTTAAAATAGTAAAACAGAGAAAGCAGAGGAGTTTTCTGGGTCATACTAAAAACAGGAGAGGTGCACTTGAAAGTGAAATCATCAGGTAGATTTAGGGTTAATATAGATGAGATGATTTGTGTTCTCTTGGTCTTGTACTTTCAATGTCAAAAATGAATGATTTAATCTCATGTCCTTGCCATTTGCAGTACCAAGACAGAAGAACACAGGTTAAGACTGAGAGGTCAGCCGTGGAGTAGAATAAGTAGTGGCATAGTCCAAGGTCAGAGGTCAGAGATCACACTCACAGTAGACAGTCAAGCTGATGGTTTTTTTGGAGCGGGTGTTGAGGTAGGTGTTCTGTGCCAAGCAGGCGTAGTCGCCAGTGTGCATGCGGAGGATCTTGGTGATGGTGAACTGCGGCCCGGTGTAGACCTGGGAGTTGTTGTAGAACCAGACGTACTGACTGGCCGGGTTGGACTGGGCTTGACAGAGTAAAGAAACAGTCTCTCGCTCGAGGGCTGAATATCCCCGCTCTGTCATACTGTACGGAGTCACGTCTATCTGAGGAATGTCTGGACCAACTGAAGAGAAAGGATATGAACACACTCAAGTTATAATGGACATGTTACATACACAGGTGAGCAACCTCATGTCATTCTATACAATTCTATTCTATTCTATTCATGTTATTCTCTTAAGAACTACAGTATATTTCCACCCTGCAACAATTCATCATTTGGAGTTGTGTTTGTAGCCACCTAGTGAATTTAAGTCCAATATTCAATCTGTTTTTAGTCTCCACCTACTCCTGAGGAGAATATCTGACTCTTTAGCTGCTACATGCTGCACTGCGTTCACCAGCTTGTCTCTTACTGTTTGTCTGCTGTTTGGTGCTGAGCAGGTGATGTACAGTGGATTCTTAACGCTTTTTTCGCTTAGCTGTCTCTGTGACTCAAATTCAAACCACTGGAGTCCAAGTGTTAACACTTGAAGTACAAGCCAAAGCAGAAACAATACAATGTTTGTTTGTTTTTTCAAATGATAAGGAATATAATGAAGTGAGAATTTTAAGTATATACAAAAAGCTGACCTATGGCTAAAACATTAAACAGTGTGAGTGATGACTTAATAATAATAAGTATTGACTGGAGATTCATGACTTTTATGTGCTCTGATGTATTTTTCTTCTAATGTGAATTGTTCCTCCTCTTGACATTTAAGGGCTTATACTTTCAGAGTAAAAAAAAACAAACATGCACTGTGATCTAGTATTATTACTCATAAACACTTGTGATGTCTTAAAAAGCTATACGTTGTACAATAATATTTTGTTTGAATACCCAAATCTTACCCCAAACCACCCAGAAATACTCACAGATGGTGTCCAGCCATAACCGGTTAGAGCTCTCGCTGTTGACGGCGTTGGTGGCCACACAGCGGTACCAGCCAGTGTGGTTTCGGTTGACGTCGGTCACGTTGATCGCGCTGGTGTTGCCCTGTGCAAAGACTGAGATGTTGCCACTCCGGGTTTCATGCTGCCACACATATTGGATCGGTCCGGTCCCATTTTCCAAATTGCAGCGCATCCACATTGTAGATCCTTCCACCGGAGAAGCATCACTCATCAGGAGGTAAGGCTTACTGACCGGAACTGTAAGTCACACAACATGTAGGTATGTTCACTGTCTCTAATGCAGATGAAGAACAGTGTTCAGTACATGTGTGTGTCCATGTATCCAGACAGCTCATGTTAACTATTCATCTGCAGCCTGTAAAGGTATGGACACCCAAGGGCCCCAAGCTGAGAGAGTAGCCAAAAGTTGTTTTTTTTTTATCTGTGCAAGATTATTTCACGTTTTGATTTAATGATGCTCTGGTTTAGTGACCTGTGGTTAATTGTAAAATCCAAAATGGCCAACAAAATACAAATTGGTGATTACACAGAGACGCTGTTTTTTTCTGGAGACAAACTGGAGAGCTAAGCTAACGGTCTCCTGTCTACAGCTTCATATTTAGTGTACAGATATGAGTGGTATCGACTGTCTCATCAAAAGCTTGGCAAGAAAGTGAATCCGCCTGTTTGGCCAGATCTGTCCCTACTCTGTCCATTGGTTGGAAATGATAATAACACAGTACAAGGTGCTGTTAACCTCATCTATATGAAATTATTGGCAAATCACAAAGAACCCGAGTACAGCTTGATACTTGATGAACAAGATATGTTTTGTTCACCTGAGAGCAATGACAGGTTTATTATCAAACTGTCAAACATCCTGCTTAGTAGACAATTTAAAGGATCTGCATTAGAAATGTTTGTGTTATGTGTTTATGTAGAAAAACAGAATATCAGACAATATATTGTTGTCAGCTTTTTTGCATATGGCTGATGGAATAACGGTGTAGGTGTTAAGAGTGTGTCCCCCTCCTGTGCCTCCATCCTAGCTACACCCCTGCCTGAAGTGAAATCTTACCTCGGACAGTGAGGTGCACGTAGTAGTAGTAGACTTTGGGCTCTCGTTCAATGTCATAGAAGGCCTGGCAGGTGAACAGGCCCTGTGCAGCCGGAGGTAGTTTCTCGATGCTCACAGCTGCACTGTTTGAGATGATCGTCAGCTGTCCGAGCGTCTCAGCCAGCTTCTGGATCCTCGGTCCTTGCCCCAAATCATAGACCACAGCTTTTATAGCTTCAGCGCCGGGCTTGGTGAAGCTCCATATGTACATGTCAGGTAAAGTGGTGCCGCACTCCAGGATCACCGCTTTGCCCACCACCCCATACACACTGGTGTCCTGGTATACCACCTCCCCGTTGTGATTGATCTGCACCGCTGGAGGAGGGAGAGGACACACACGGACATGCAGCCAAATGTGTGTGTGTGTGAAGGAAAAGGAGATGGTGGTGTCATTTGCCCTGCCAGTGTTCAATTACAGGATTGATTACACTGTAAGTTTCAGACACACTCTAATAGTTTAATAAGGGATTCCAAAACAGATAACTGGATTAGTCCCATTATTTTTCCATAAACATTCACTTTATCAACCATCGTTTGCTTCCTTAGCTATTCCCTTTCTCTGTTACTCTGAGAGAACTGTGAATAGTTATGGTGATATGGTTGAAATGTTCCTTTGTCTCTGATGTAATGTACATCAGAAACAACTCCTCACGTGTGAAACAAAAACCTTTCAGTTTTAAATTATAACTTGACTTGAATTAGAGCCAGACTTGCCACATAAAGTGGCAAGGCTGATGTATACGTTGATTTTAGTTCAGTGCAGATATATTGGTATCAGTGGTATGTCTTGGCCAATAAGTAACAAGAACTTACATTACAAAAATGCCAAAGATACTTCTGAGGAAATCTAGAGAGTGTCTTGCTGCTATATAGTTTCTCCCCCAAACAACACTAACAACTTTAAAATTTCCCATTCAGGAAATATCATGGTCATAAATTTAAGTGATCTTTTTTGTTTATATACATATATAAAAATATGAATATATTGTTATGAAACTACAGTTCAAAATATCAATATCAGTCTCCAATATCAACTATTTGTCATGCTATACTTCAAATCCTAAAATTTGTACAATAGATTCTACTGACAGTCGATGTTAAAGAATTTTTGGCAGTCTTCTTAATTTGTCCAAATATATTCATCAGCCAAATCATTAACTGTCACTCAGAAAAGTTTAAATGAATCCAAAGGCATTGGAAAACCCTTACCATAAGTTGTAAAGGTGACCAGACTGGTAGGTAGAAATGGTAGAAGAAAAAAGGCCAGCCCTAGCAGTTGGGCCACCATGGTATCATGATGATCCTGAGTCCAACAACCTCTTTACTCCGAAAAATGTAGTAGAGATGATTGAATGGTAGAAACCTTCTGGACAACAAAAACTGTTTTCCCTCAGGTTCCTGATATCACGTCTTTCCCTCTCTCCGCTCCTGAAGTTTTTTAAGAGAATCCAGTTGCAGGCACTGACTTCATTAGACTGAGAGTAGGAAGGGACGGAGGGTCACTAAACTGATTTGGGCTCAATTATTCATGTGTTTTTTTCTTTCTCTCTATCCCTCTTTCTCAGGGTTAGAATAACACGGTTAGAATGACACGCTGATACTGAGCTCATCCATTTTACAAAGCAGACGCATGAGTGGACAGGTTAGCTTTCCACACAGAAACACACACACACACACACACGCACGCATACACACACACACACACACACACGCACGCACACACACAAGCACACATACACTTATGAACACACCTGCACATTAACTAATAGGTGATATCCAGGGTCTTAACATGAACATTTCTCCACACAAGACTTGTTTTATGTTTCACTCCACTTTGCTGGTTGTTTCAGTATTATGTTAAGGACCAAAAAATATATATATGCTATGCGAACCACAAGTTTTTCAAACTGATTTTGGAGATGATGAGCTCAGCAAAGACATCCTTTTATTTAGTTAAAATAATATCAGACTGTTTTTCCCTCTGTTTTCTAGTCATTTTGGGGTGAGTTGTAAAATTAAAGGCTCCAGATTTTAATTTCAGAGGTCATGTGAGGACCAGAGAGCAGAGTAAACTCTACTGATGGGATTAGGATTAAAATAGATTTAGAAATCTGGCATCTCACAACGATGCTCTGTGTTTCCTCACAACATGCTGCGACCTCGACACTCCGCAAGCCACCATGTAAAGATGTAAAGCCGCACGGCCCATCCTGCACTTACACACCATCTGATCTCTGGAACAGGTATTCATCCTGTGTTTTTAAAGATTCTTCACGAGTGATGAGTTTATGTTTATGTGTTTATAACGGAGAAAGAGAGGAGGAGGGACTGTTGAGTGGAGCCATGAGTATGTAATGTGAGATGTTTGTCATGAATGAATGCAGGACAGAGATCAATTTTCCTCACTTGGCAGAGATAAGGACCGAGGGCCACAATCACTCATCTATATCCGTATAAAAATAACACAACAAGTGAAATTTCATAAAGGAAAATTATAATAATATTATCGAATATGAAGATGTACCCGAAAATATGTATCTTGGGTGGTTTATCACACTGGAATGCAGTAGGAAAGTGCTTTTTATTCTGCTTTTGTTAACTTTAAAACCATAACATGCTGAGTATATATTTTTCTTAACATACTCTACTTTCTGTTCATATTGTAAATATCTGAAAAGACTTGAAATGTATTTTATACTGAATAGTTTAATGTGTGACCTTTACAACACTCGCACATTGTTAATCATGAATGACTCCCTGGGAAGCAGGACTATGTGAGTAGAGCACTGTGGTTCAGTCTCTGACTGTCAGGCAGTGACACAGTCTCTTCTGAGCCTCAAGTAAAATGACACCAGTCCGGGTTTTGTTGACCTCATTCTCAGACATGCAAAGCTAAAGCTGAATATCAAGGCTGGTAAAGTCAGGGGACGCCCTGAGAGAGGCAGGCGTAGTCCACCCTGGAGTGATGGAAATGAAAAATAACTGCCAGCTAATGTGATATAACCTAATTTTAAATCTGTCCTAACTGATTTTCTGAACACTTGGGAGCATCAAAAACAAACTGTAGACACAAGACTGACAGATATGGCAAACCTGTTGGCATTCAGTTGCCTAGTTACACATCTTTTAGCTCTGTTTCAGTCTCGACCAACTCCTAAGAAAAATGCTCCCCTACGTTCACCAGCTAGTTGCTTACGTTGCCTGTCTGCTGTTTGGTGCTTGACAGATAGTGTACAGTCAGTTTATCAGAGCAAAACAAAAACAGCTGCAGCTGAACACAAAGCTCCAGTGTGAGAGTGAACCAAAACAAATAAGCTAAAAGTCACTAAAAAGTTCTGTAAAACTCAAAGGAACTGCATAGTCAGGTGATATGTCCATGGATGTGTCACTTAAAGTGATCCAATCTGGATATAAAATTATTGATTATAGCATCTTTAAAGTTCTCTGAAGCCCCCATGTTCGCTTTTATACTAGAAATACTAGTTAAACTAAATAAGATATAATAAATACAAATATAATCGGTTTAACCGACACTACTTTAGATCCTCTTGAACATCAAAGTTACTGTATCACCAAATTTTGGGCTTATATATGAAGTAGATCTTATTAAACTGCAACAATAAACAGCCTTGAATGGATTCATGGAGGAGTTTTTGTCTTTCAGTTATTATTAATTTGCTTGTCATATAAGCTGAAACCCTTAGACATCAGTAATATTCAACAAGATATAAATATGTGTTTCGTCCAAAGCTGAGCCCCTTTAGTGTAAAGACATGTTTGATTGAGGAGTTTGAACGAGGCGTCAGCTTCCTTTGTCTTGTCTTCAGCAGGAATCAGCCGTCCTGATGTCTCTGATTGTTTTTACAGTGAGGGTGGTCAGCTGACTCGTGATCCTGTTGTTGTTGAGACAGAACTGATCTTAGAATAATTAGCTAAAGCTGTGACGGTTTAGGCAAACGTGTAGTTACAGTGTGTGCGTGTGTGTGTGTGTGTGTGTGTGTGTGTGGTGGGGTCGGGTGCCAAGTACATAAAACTGGTGTGACTGGAAATGGTCACTCACGTCTTTTGCGTCAGCATCCAAACTAAAGTTCCTCTATACAGTAAGTGTTATGCTCTCCTATGGTAGTTTACATGAGTTACATCACAAGTGTAAGTGGTAAGTGTAGTGATCCTATCTGTTGTTGGTGCTTATTTAAGAAGTGAACAGGACCTAGCAAATCTCCCCCTTTACCAGGATGATCTATGCAGCATTGCAGAGAGGGTTTACCTCAGAGGCTGTGACCTCCCGATACCCATATTTCCAGTATTATTCCAGTAGTTTCTGGTAATTGCCCAAGTGCCTGTTAAGACTGTAAGAGTGCGGAACTTTATCAGTGCGAACAGGGAACACTTGGGTTAATACAAATACTGCACATGGCACAGTTCAGCTCAGATAATTTGTTGGTACAAATGACTTGCATCATAGTACATTGTAAAAAAAACATACATTAAGGAGCAGAGAGGAGCGATACCATTGATGAAGATGTTAAATAAAGTTGTCTAGAAACACATAGGTCTACTGTACATAAAAGAGGCATAGCATATTTGGATGTTTTTTGTCTCACAATTTTTAAGTATCAAATATACTCAAAGTAAGTATATATATATATATATATATATATACAGTATATAAGGGGTCAACAGTATATATCTATCTATATATATATATATATATATCAAATACTTACTTTAAAAATTATATATATATTATACAGTATATATGTCAGATATTCAATATTAATCTTACCAGTCTCATTAAGAAGAATAAATTAGTACATGTGGAAATTCTGCCATTAACTTCATAGTGTTTGGATATGACTATTCATGCTGAACTTGTTCATGCTTCTTGATTATTGTGGGTCCTCAAATCAGCTTATAAGCACATTACAAACACTGGACTGGTGCGGCACAGTAGACTGTGGTGAACTGTATAATACACTTAACTGAATGCTGCTTCGGAGCAGTATTAGGAAAAATGTGCAGATTAAGTGAACCGTGTGTTATTTTTCCGACATCAATCAATAATGCTAATGTGGCTTAAATCACACTCAACAGAGATGTCTTTGACAAAATAACCATCATAATTAGTCTAAAATATTTTTGATGAAACATCGTACAGTAGACTTTTAATTGTTAATACATATTTCAGGGTGAACATCTTAATACTGGCCATGAATAAAATATTAGAATATTGCTTTTCAGAGTAAAGAAAGAGAAGAAGAGCTTGTAGTTTTCAGTCTAGTATACACCACTGATACAAGTTTAAATGATCATTTTTATTTAAACGCTAAAAATTCAAGGTTCATCCAACAACCAGTGTCAATGAATACTAAAATCCACAGATACCACAAATAAAAACATCAATATCATAAATCGACAAAATGTCTTCAGTAAATAAAAATGTTTTTTTTTCAGAAAGCAGAAAAACATGAATGATACAAAATACAAACACAGTGAAAGTATTACATCAGGACAGAGGGTAAAACCGAAAGGTGAGGCCTGCTGCTCCTCAGTAAAGGGATGGTCAGTGTGTACAACACAGGATAAATCGAGAGTAGGAAAGTATAGTATTTTTTTTGTTTTCTTTGTTTTTTTATTACAAAATGATACCATGGAGGTTAAAGTAAGGGGTCAACCACATGGAACATCAGTAGATAATTTCATCCATTCTGTTTGAAGTATTTTCCCATCAAATGTAATACATCCATGCAATATATACTTATTCCAATTAAAGTCAAATCATCTTTAACTCGACCTGCCTGTAACCTAAAACTTGAACTTGCTCGCAGACATTTGAAACATGGTTCAGCAGTCTTCCCTTTTCAAAGAATAAATACCACAGTAAAAGATAAGACCAAAGAGAGAAAATTGGACTGAATTCCAGGTGCAACAACAAAAGCTGCATTGTCCTTTGACCTCCCGAGCCATCCACAATGGTGCAGACAGTGCAGAGACACCTTCTGATGGTCCAGAGTTCAACATATTTTTCCAACCTCCTCTTGGGAAAGGTTCGGGTTTGAATCGGGTTGTTTAATCTGAGCTCACTGGAGAGGTCTGAGTTTGTAACAAGATGTCGGTTCAGACATACTGCTCTTTGGGAAAAGTGTATGCCGCCACTCCTGGAGGAGGAGAAGACAGGCCCGGTACTGAGGGGTACTTAAAGATGGCCGTGGTGTGTGAAGGGGGAGAGAAGGTGTTTTTTGACGTGGTGGTGCTGCTGCTGCTGGTTGCAGTGGTTGGTTGTGAGGAGTGGTAGGGGTGCTGGGGCAGGAACGAGAGAGGAGGGTTGATGGGAGGGGAGTAGGGCTCTGGGTAGTCCTCCTTGTTACAGGCCAGTCTGTAGCTCACATAGTCCGCTGTGTTTGGAAGCTCTTCATAAAACCGTCCTGAATGCTGTGGAGAAAGGAGAGACATCACATTTAGAAACAATACACATACATGCTGTACATGCAAACAGTACATATAGTATTTACTTTGGAGTTTCTGACCTCGTAGCAGTGCTTCCTCCTCCATTAATCTCTCTGTACCTCCTGCCCGTCTTACTAACATGGGGTTTAGGACCTTCAGCCATGTTGCCCCTCGACTCTGGAACTCTTTTCCACAAGACATCTGTAATATTGATTCTCTTCCTGTTTTCAAATCCCACCTCAAAACACACCTCTTCAAACTTTCTTACTCTCTTTAACTCCAGCACAAGCACTTAATCGTATTCATTTTTTATGGAATTACATTTATTCTAATTTATTCTGTATTTTATGCCTTGTACTAGCTTTTTATTTTTTTACTGTGCGTTGTAAGGTGTCCTTGAGAGCCTTGAAAGGAGCCTATAAATAAAATGTATTATTATTTATTATAATTTAAAAAGGGAGACAATAAGGAAGGAAGGACAAAGAGGAACGGGGCCATTAAGAAAAAGCTGTGCAACACGCAGCTAATTTAATATCTCTTCCTCCATTTTGGACTTTCTGCCTCTCTTCGATCCCTGAAAGGTCAGCCCTGTCAAGGTGGTTTGGAACTGGTAAACACCACAAATTAACATTCATGCAAAGCTCTCCACAAGCAAATCCTCTGATCACAGAGATTCCACTGAAATGAAGGGAATTTTGGTCTAAAATTTCAACAGTTATAAAAGTTGTTAAGACAAAGCCTTACAAACGGTACATAACATAGTACAGATTCTGCTTTAAGAACATTATAACAGTACACAGAGAGTGTTTTATATCTACACAAATCAATAATGGTCTGAAGCAATTGGTCTAATAAGGTTACCTGCAGTCATGCACATAACCTGTTACGATGAAGGTTATGCTAGTGAAGTTATGCTAATATAAGCAAATATAACCATGTTCATGTCTCTAAGTGGTATTACTGACCCTACATACCCATGGTGCACCCACATAGGTGTTTTCATTTATTTAGACTGGTTAGACTTGTTTTCAGAACAAAAACAACAACATGGTGGAAGGACACAAAATGTTAAGATAGATGACAGAAATTTAAAATCACATAAAGGTTATAAAAGCCACTAAAAGTTCCTTACTAAGAGTTTCTTTTTAGAGTTATTCACAAAGCTGCTGAGATGAGTTTTCTGTGAGGAACAAAGAGAATTGCTCAGGTAAGAGAGGGAACGAGGCTGACGTCCTCGCTGTGTCCTCGGTGGTTGGTGTTTGACAGGTCTGACTGGTCTGTGTCAGTGAATGTGGAATCAAATATTCATCTATTTATTTATTATTGCAGTTGGGGATTATTTAACGTGCACTCAATGAACTGAGATCCTTAGTGCTGCAAATTGTATTTCTCAAGCATCCAAGTAGCACTGATGCATTACTGACAATAGAGATGACTACTATTTTCTGTACGGACAGTCCATTGTTGGTTTCTGTAATAGCAGCTTTATATATTATTTTACATCAGCTTTACTATTGTCGGCACAGTCAGCAGTAACATTACAGCATTCATTCTATTGTAAATGATGTTATTATTCTACAATTATTGTTTACTTTATAGAACAGCAAGTAGTGTGAAGAAATACCTGCCACAATTTTATAAAAATCAGAGGAAAATTTACTCAAGCACATTGGCAACCCTTTGAACATGTGATGTGTAAATTACAAACAACACACGCAGTTTACCTGGATCTCATCTCCTGGTCTTTTCCTTATTGGCTGGGACAGTTTTCTGGACGGGGAATCATTTCTGATCAAGGAGGAAAAGAGAATAGAAGATGGATGATGAGGATGGTGACAAACTGTCTTGGAACAAACACGCATGTGAAACAGAGGGCAGGAGGGAGAATGGACCGTTTACGTACGAGGAGTTGTCTTTTCTACTTCTTATTTTGAGCACCAGGACTGTGATAGTAATGCCCATGAGCACTCCAGCAGCCAGTAATAAGGCGATTACACTGATGACATCACCTGTTGCAATCTGCGGTAGTGGCTTTTCTACAGAGAAAACAATCGTACATCAATAAAAATTCAAACAAACACATGCACGGTTTACAGTAACTTTGGAGGTACAGTAAGAGTCATGCAGGAAAAAAAATGTGAAGAAAAGTTCAGTACACAGCAGCTGCAGGATTAGAAGTGGTAATATTATCAGGAATACTTTTTAATTTCCCTTTATCATTATTATCAAATGACCCCGGACCTCAGGTAAACATACCTATAATGCTGACCTCCACAGAGCCTGACCGTGTCCCAATGCTGTTGGTTGCATCACACACATAGGTACCTTGCAGGTCGTATGTGACTGGTCCTTTAAAGGTAAGGACATTGTCTCGGATCTCAGCATTGCTTGGTATGGAGCCATTAATTCTACAGAACGTGCAGAAAATATAATTTAAATAAAAAGTGCACACAAGTTATGAAACTAAAACTCTCTTCAGTCGACATTTTGTCCATGCGAATAACAATAACAACAATATGCCCTTCATATACGATGATATAATTCAATGATAGATGCAAAAATCAAATACAAACTAAGACAATACACGCATTATAAAACAGGAAGAAGAAAGGTGTGTTGTTTCGTGGTTTATGTTCGCTGGCACTTAGAAAAAGAAAAAGACAACTGTGTTAGCGTAAGAATTAAGAAGGGAAGGACAGACTCTCCACAAATTAAGGAAGAGAAACCAGATTTTGTTTTATTTTATAACTGACCCATTTTCAGTAAATCTCAGTTTCTCAATTTAAAGACACATGGCATCACCTCCTTGATTTACTGGCAGGGATGGTTTCTCTCTTACATTAACACAACTCTTCTCCCGGTTGCCAAGCTGTATTCAACGTTTTTTTCTACCTCTCCTTCATCAGTCTGGTGTCTGAGGCTGTTTCTGTTTTACTTGTATACAAGACACTGAGACGTGTACTTCCTGGATTGATGTGTTAAGTTCAAATGCAGATAAGGGTTACTCATACATGTTAAGTGATGAAGGTGATTTGAAGATAAAATTTGTTCACTTGTATTATGGTAAAATGAAAAAGTGTATTTGTTGCAGAATATTGTGAAATGTTGATTTTATTGTTGTACTCTGTATTTTGGGTATTTACGGTCAATAGTTTTCTTCACAACTAAACAACAACACAACACAACTATCAACTAAAGGCCATTACATTTTTCATACCAGTCACATGACGGCTCAGTGTATTGTTTATGAGGAAACTACAAACAGCCTCTGTCTTATCACTCTGATGAAGGCAAGATAGCTGAAAACGTTTTGTGAATTTAATATGGTGTACTGGGGGAAAAGTCATGTGACGTGTGTGTGTGTGTGTGTGTGTGTGTGTGTGTGTGTGTGTGTGTGTGTGCCCTCTTAAAGAAAGAAATAGTAAATCTGAGTGAAAGACAAACAGGCAGAGTTGTACTCACAGTCTCCACTGATACAGAGAGACGGCTGGGTTGGCATCAGCTTGGCAGCTCAGCTGGACGTTCTCTCTGTTCACATACCAGTTTCCATCAAACCCGTCCACTGAAACATCTGGCTCATCTGGTACACACACACAGACACGTACCAGTAACAAAATATAAGCCTGTAAAATTCACTTCTTTATTTTGAACTGTCGAGTTATGTAGCGTATGAGAGAGACTTACACTGAATATCGAGGGTGACACTGTCAGTGAAGACCTCCTCGTTGTAGCTGGTGACACAGGTGAGCGTTTCCCTATGCGTTTCTTTGCTGGGCACCAAAACGTAGTCACTCTGAACAGTGAAAGTCCCGTCTGAGTTTCTGTACTCTCGAGTGGTCACTTCTCCCGGCACCTTTGTCTCCCACCTGCTCACACCAACGAGGAATCAGTGTCGCGACGCACACGTACATAGATACATTTTGTATATGTGTATACACTAAACAGAAGGCAAGGGTTTCATTTACGGTTGTGTAATGGAAGCGCGCACACAAGAAGAAGCAGAAGATATAAATTCATATTGAGAAAAGCATGCAGATGTGAGAGACAGACTAGTTTTACAATGCAACAATGCAAACCATACCAAATGCTGCAGTAAAAGTAAGGGAGGGTGAATTCAAGAGACAAAACATCTGTTACACACCTGATGGTGCCAGGTGGTTTTCCATTGGCAGAGATGCAAGTGGCCACCGGTGTTTTCAGATTGGATGAACGAGCCACTAGTGTCGGTGAGGACAGACTCATCTGAGTTGTTGGGCGAACTGCGGGAATAAAAATAACCAAAGGCTTCGAGTTGATCTGGCATGAGAATCTTTTTACACCATGATAATATAGTTTTACAGCTTATCCAAGGTTAATATGAACAGCGATTGCCTCATCAGTAAATCATGTTTTACAAAATGCATCTGCACACAACAAAGCCATTTTCTAAAAAGGCGAGTAAACACAATGGTAAGTCAAGATTTTACAAAATATGACTATTATTTTTTATCTACAGGTAATCTTCATCCCATCCAATTAAGATTTTAAGTCTAAAATCAAAAGACAAAATAGCAACAGTTAAAATTTCCAAAATTAAATTTTTACATTGGCTACTTTTCTATGTAACATACAAGTACAGAAATGAATGTGAAAAAACTCACAATATCTCTGCATTTGGAAACCAGTATACAGTATTTTCAAGTGTGTGAATGTTCAATATTGAACATGGAAACACTAAATCCAAAACTGGTCAAACTTTTTAAAATAGCACGAAGCTGAATCAATGAGGACTACTTAGTGTGGCATTTGACACCTTAAAGGAATAGAGATTACTTGCTTTACACCAAAAGTTAGATGTCTGTACGGTAAATATGAAGCTAGAGACATAGTGACAATCCATCTGTATTGTATTTGAAACTCAGCTCATCATACGTCTTTCTTACCGTAGACAGTGAGGTTCACTGTGTTCTCCCGGTTTCCTGCGGGGAACGTGGTGTATTCACAGATGTAGGTGGACTCGTCAGAGAGGCGGAGCGAGGAGAAGGTGATGGTGGTGTCTTCAAGGGTCGGAGTTCGTCGCCTCACTGCTGCGTTCTTGAAGGTGACGCGGTCCCTGTAGGGCGGCGCCACGGACACACCCAGGGAGGGGTTGGCGATCGCCACGTTCTGCTTGGTGCCGTTCACCAGTTTCTGCCATGTTACCTTGAGAAGGACAGACAGACGAAATGGAAGGAGTTAATGAAGGGGTAAGGAAGTGTGTAGTACTGCTACAGTGTATGTGAATCAATGTATTGTATATGTATATGTATACTTCAATAATAAATTGAATAATAAATAAACAAGACGAATAATGACTGTGAAACCTATCAGGGCATACGAAGTCAAAATTCTGATGCATGCAGTTACACATTTATACCAAATGATACTTGTGGTTTGTCTCATTAACTACAGGGAAACATTTTACACCAAAGCCAACTGAAGCAAGCTTCAACAAAAACTAAGTTTTTAGATTGACTCCCTACCCCATAGACAACCCAAACTTTACCAGCTTACAAAGAAGATGGCCTGCAAAATGGGAAATTAGGCTAAGAACTATTGCTTTGGAAACGTATTGTAAATAATGTGATTTGTAGTTAATTTGCAAAAAAAGGAAAAAAATACCAATCCTTGAAACAGATTTCAAATGCAAAAATCACAGTACAGGCCGTTCTGTATAAGATTTGCATGTGTTGAATTTGAACATTGTTTCTTGCCGCTGTCACTTTCAGTGCAGACTCTTTCCCTGTCTGAAGTCTTTGCTAAGCACTTTCACTTTCAAGATTTACAAGAAATTAGGTTTCTCCTGCGAAAATCTAGCAGTGTTCACTGGGTTTCTCTTAATTTCTTGACACAATTAAGTAAACTGAGTTCATCGCAGGATGCTGAAGAAATCAAGTTTTGCAGAAAGCTGAAAATGATTGATTATGGAATTGCAGATAAACACACAGACAGAGTTTATGCTGATTTATCTAGAATTTGGAAGGCGTGTTCTGCGTGTGAATGGTGTTATTTGTTTTTGTGAGTTTTATGTTTTTTTTTTATGTATTTACAATTGGGTGTAATCCACGTTCAGGTGGGCGACTGGATACCTGGGAGATTTTGACGGGCGGGGAGCTGTTAATGAACCGACAGCGGAGATCCACCTTTGAGCCAACATACCCCGACTTCCCGTCATCCATTTCCACAGTCTGGCCATTTATTCCTGAAAGAGAAACATAAAGACATGAAAACACTTTCACCTGCACAGGGAACACACACACACATGCACACACACACACACACACACACACACACACACACACACACACACACACACACACACACACACACGAATATACAAACACACACACATGTTGGCAGCATCAGACTGGCATGCTCTAAGCTGTTCACAGTCAGCACAGCATGTTGAGCTTCTAAAGGGAGCTGAGCTGTCAAAGGTGATACACTTTAGCAGGGTGAGAGGTGAGCTGAGGTCAAAGGTGGTGGATTAGAGTGAGGGTATAAATAAGCACGATTTGTTTGGTTACTGTTCCCACTGACTTACTGATCCCCTTTAACAAATCCACAGCAGAGCCACGCCCACTTCCTGAGTGTACCTGAGTCACGTGTGTTTATTTGTGTTTGTCAGATAAACTTCCAGTAACATCATATTCAATCTGGAAGGTTCATAAAGAATAAAATGATTATTAATTCATGGTGCAGGATAGAGGACAGAAAAAAACAGCTGAGGACAATGGCTGCTCCCATTCTCACACACACGTGTTATTATTATACAGTACAGACACACACACTCTCACACACACACACAGAGAGAGAGAGAGAGAGAGAGAGAGAGAGAGAGAGAGAGGAACCTTTCATTCTCAATATCCCTAATTGTGTCATCTCAGTCACTAACAATCAGCCATCCTTGATTAAAATATCCAGTCTTACATTCATATTTTTTATCTTTACAAACTTTTTTTATGAAGAAATTATTTTATTTTTTATAGTTAATCCATTTAAAGTCCCTTCTCCCTTTTAGTATGGCAGCAGCCAAATAAAAGATAGATGCCGATGGGAGAGAAATACATCTTGTAACTTTACCTGAACGTTCTTTAAGATATGAAGTATTCTCACCATATGTATTTGAAATGTATTGAGATTTGTTTACTTTGTATTTTATCATTCATTTGGGGAAAAATATCACATTTTAATTATATTTTTCATCAAACCTTCTGGTAAATGCTGAGTCATTATGCCAAAATAAAAGCTTTGCAGCATAAAATCAATGTTACACATACACAAATATCATTGTGTTAGCTGTTTTGTCCTCCCAAGACATTCTGTATTTGGCTTCCTCCTTAGATAAAGCAATAAAAATTACCCTAAAGAGCAGTCTGGTGGTCCCATTAGTTTTGGAAGATTATTTTTGGATATAAATATAAACAGCAAAGGTAGTTATTAGGCATCTTATCAGAGTCTCACAACAGAAAATAAAAGACACGGTTGCAGCAAACAAGCTGTGACTTTCTTTCGAAAACATTTCCCAATAAATGTCATTATGGGAACAGCCATCCCTGATACTACTGTAAAGGATACCTCTGGGTTTGTCACAAAATTAGATTTGTTAGGCCTCAGTTACCTCAGCAAACTTTACTTCAGCTGGTCATTTTTAACTTTCTCAAACATTTAATGCCATAAGCCAGGCAACTGGAAATTTTATTAGATGTTATGTAGCTGTATTAGACTGTATGGATGTAACTCATACCCAGGGGTGATTTCCATGTTTGAAATATGAGGTGCCATATTCATCATGACGTCCAATATTTCCATGTTATTAATGGAGGAATATTGATCAGTCCATGAGTGTCCTAGTATGGTCTCTATCACAGAGACAGTCAGTCAAAAAAACACCTCAGGCTGACAGGGCAGACATCACATCTGTTCACCCCTCAAGGTTGTTAACCATGACATAATGCTTTTACCTATAAACAGTAGGTTGGCATCCTAATATTTCTATCAGAGCCGTGTAGGAGCTTCCTGCAGAAATGTTTAAACGTGTTATTTCCTGCAGAAAAATATACAACACACAGTAACTGAACAATAGCCTCTTGCTGTGCCGTTTGGAAAGGCTGAACAAAACGGAGAGGATATATGATTAATACTGCAACATGTTCTCTGGTGATACATTATGAATACACAGGAACAGTTGAAGTAGTATATGTACATGTAGACTTTTCCTCATGCAGTGTAATGTGCAGTGTAACAGTCTGGAGACTGCACTCCCAGGATGCACGCCCCAAAACGATGTGTGTTTACATTTAAGTGACACAGGAGACTGTTGGTCGGTTCCCTTTCATACTGACAGTCAGCTTTGGTTTCTCTTAACCATGACCACGATGGTTTCTGAAACTTAAGCAGGTAATTATTTATGTCCTTTCCCTAACTCTAACCAATCAAACTGTAGAGGTGAACTCAATTTGCACGAACAGGAAAAATAAATGGCTTACATGTTTCGTTACGTATTTCATCATTTCATTTGGTGACTTGTTGTAAAAAGCCCTGACAACACCATCAACTGCTATGTCACTATCCATGAAAACTGTCTGTACATCCTACAGTTGCTCTACTGATAGGCTAAGTCAAAGCTCAATGTGTGTTGTGCCCCAAGGGGTCAATTCTTGGTCCTATCCTGTTCTCTGTACACCTGCTACCCCTGTATATATTTTATCATTGCTGTGCTGGCAACACACAACTATGGTATATCTCTCATTTAATCACAATCATCCTATTACACTAAACACAAGAGAAGAAATACGACGACTCAATGCTTTGCCATTTGCCAATGCCAATGCCATTCAAAATCCTGCCATAACGTTAAATCATTGATTAAGCCCTGTTACTTTTCACCAAGACATAGAGGATGCATAGCATTGATTCTTTCATCTGGCTATCTTTTACTCATAAGAGAACAATATCTTCAAATATTCTATAAAAAAACAGAAAAACAGAATGATTAGGCAAAATGTATTAAATTGCATTTGTTTTCATAAACCTCTTCCTACAGTAAATGTCTGTAGTTTCAAGCACTTATATATGTTACACAGAGAAAGAGTTTGTGCAGATTCCGATCTGCAGACCATGACCTGCCGGAGAGTGCAGAGGGGTTCTTGGGATCTAATGTTAGAAATGGCATCGTATTTCTGAATGACATAAGAAAATCCTTCAACAATGAGCCAAATAAAGGTCAGCCACATAATAGGCCTGTGCATGAACAGAGAGCTAATCAGCTCTGAAATACAGTGAAGAATTAAGGTCTTTGCAAATTCTCAAATGCCCCTAAAAACCGAGCAAGCAGACGGATTCATATAATTCAGTGTCCCATAAACCGGGAGAGCTCTAGACCTAAATCAAAAACAGTAACTTCCTCACAGGACTGTAGATGAGGCGTATAAATTACACTGATATTTTTCACTGTTTTACCTGAAATGGTCTTAAAGTTTAGTTCTGACTGCAGTAGATATAGAAAACCATAGACAAATCTGTTGAGCTTGAATGTCTCTCTGTGCTTTTAAAACTGCACTAAGTTTGCTTTGCTGCCGCCTAACAACTGCACAAAATAAGAATATGTTGATGATTTCATTTGTTTCTTTGAGCTATAAAATAAGCATCAAAATCTTAAAATTTCAAAATTGACTGATGGCAGACTGACTTGAGCTTTGATTTATGTGACACACATTGCACAGACTTAAAGAGAAAAGGCAGGGCATGTTAGTGCTTACCTAGTTTCCTTTCAGCATTAAGATCAAAACTTGAAAACAAAGCCTCAATTAGAAAATAGAATTAGAAGAGTGTTCATTCCCTTTTTTTGTTTGGTCTTGTTTTTTTCATATCAATAACCATATTAAAAAAGCATCTGATATGCAAAACTGCATTTGGCATATTTAAGCTGTTCTATGCATGCAAGCATCTGCACTGCCGACATCAATCATAAAAAATGCAACCAACGTCATCACATAATGACAAGTACGGCTTGGGCCATATGTGTTTTGTTATATTAATATGTTTAATAGTTTTGTATTATAGTAGGAGTTCACTGTGCCATACATGCCCACTTGTATAACCTATTGTGTGTGTTTGTGTGGTTCATTGAGAGGGAAGAAGGCCAGCAGTGGGAGTAGATTACACGATTTAGGATATTAAAATGCATCTGCATCACAGAGTTTATGTCCTCTTTGCTGCAGTACATATGGACGGTTACAAAATATTTGTGCTGAATTATTGTGGATTCAGTCCTTACCAAATTGTTTGTGTGTTTTTAAGCCTCCATTACCTATATGAAGAAGACCTTTAATAGTTTAATGGTTAATGTAATTCATGTTAAACTGACGGAATATTTGCTGTTTTGTGGATGTTTCTGTGATAATTTTAGGCTCAGTTTTCATCAGGGTCCACCTTTTATCAAAGAAATCTGGAATATCCTTCCAAAACATCCAAAATATCTCATATTCAAATGCTTTATTAAATGCCTGTGTAGATTCATCTCAATCATCCAAACAGTAAAATGTCAAATTACATGTAAAACACTGAACTTCTTGACAAAAATTTGACGCATGTTCAGTATGCACTGCATATCTGTAAGAGGGTAATTGTATGATGAATTGTATGAGACATGTTTTTAAGGAATAGGATCACACTTTGAGAAATATGTCATGTCTGTATGATGAATATGAAGATACAGCCATTAGTTTAGTTAAGACTGGAGACAGGCAAAAAGCTGGTCTGACTCTGTCTAACATTAACTAAATATGGCTACCAATACCTTAAGCTCAAAAATGAACAAGATATATCTAAAAGTGTTAAAACAAGCAGTGTTTCTATGAGGGGATTATGCGTTGGACTATTTTTTGGAGCAGTGACTTCCTTGCGTGTCCACTGGTTTTATGGAAGTCACTGCTCCTGGTCAAGACGTAGTCTGCCACATATCCCCCATAAATCGTTTTTACACTTCAGTATTATACACTTCAGATTAATGAAACAAGTGCAGTTGACTATTCTGGAGAAAGATAGTTGATTGTCAAGTTGTCAAATACAGTTTTTGTGGGTTAACCACTGGGCCCAAAGTGTTGGTATGTGACAGTTTCAGCAAATATGACAAAAAGTTATTTTCATAAAAGTTACCTTTAAATATTGAATTTATAGGTGCTGGTAGGCAGATTTAGTTACCTTTGGACAGAGCCAGGCTACCTAGTACCCCATGTTTCTAGTCTTTATGCGAAGAGAAGCTAAGCTAACAAGCTGTTAGAGGTAGTTTCATAATAGCCATACAGATATGAGAGTGGTATTAATCTTCTCATCTAACTCTTGGCAAGAGAGCGAATAGGGGTATTTCCCAAGGTGTCAAACTGTTTCTTTACAAAGTCAGTGCTGCATTAATGGCCCCTCTGCAACCCTCCATCCGCATACACTAGGTGTTTATTTGACACACGCTCAGTAAACACAGACAGGCCTCATTGACAAGTCAGTTTGTAATTTCAGCCCTGCCTTATATCAGGGAGATGAAATACCTCTCACTTTAGTCTAAACACTACCCTTTAAAGGCACACACACATCCCACTGAGAGTCCCCCCCTGCTGAGCTCTGTAGCTGAGCTGATTAGGGGCTTTAGGTGAGGGCAGAGCAGAAAGGGAGCCTCTCTGACACACGCACACATGCACGCATACATGCACGCACACATGCACATGTGCGCACACACACACACACCCACACACACACATATCTCTCCCACCTTCCTCTTTTCTGCCGGGTCCATTCACATTCTTCTTTTGTTTAGACTATAGGAAATTATGTCAACAGTCCTCCTGACAATTACCCATAAAGAGCAGCACACGGGCAAGAGACGACCATGGGAACTTGACAAAACAATGGAAACATTGTTTCACACTTGAATGTGCAGCATGTAAGAACAGCAAGAGCATCACAGCAAGATGCTGGGCTTTTTGTTTACATCCTGAATGGACATCCTGCAATCTTTCTTCACCAAACTTAATAATTATGTGACAACCTATTTTTAAGCTTTTCTTGTATGTATGAGAGTGGCAGGTGTTGCTGCAGGGTATTATGAAAAGACTGGAAAAAATATCTTATTGCTTCATTATTTCAGCACAGTCTCTGATTGCTGTTGGTAAAGCATTTACACTTTTCTGCATACACCAATAAAATGTATATGCTAAGATCTAATTTTTTAACTATAGGTCTCACTGAGATTAACTTCTCTTGCTAAGATAGGCAGCAATAACAATGAGTTACAGACAAACAATATAAGACAGACATCACAAATCTGCCACAAAATCAGAAACAGAAATGCTAAATCATGAATATAATTTCTAGTAAAGTATAAACTATTTCATCCTAGAATCAGCATCAAAGGTAACTTAAAGGTGCTACATCTAAGTATTTTAGTTTAAAACATTTAAAAAATTAACTAAAATTATCAACAGAATGTAATGTAATAAGAAATCGACTGTATGTCTTGTGTTTCAGACATATCTACTCAAGTTAGCACGCTAACCAGCTAGCCCTGTCCTCTCCCGTCTCGTAATACCACTTTGTACTTTATGAGGCCTTAGTGAGTCACTTTAGCGTCCAGTTTGCCCTCAGTCCATACAAAACCACAAATGTCAGCCTGATGGAAAGACACCAAACACAGTAGGGTTCATCCTCAGGGGGTCACGAATGCCTGTGCAAAATTTCAAAGCATTTCAAAAGTACGCATCTGTACTGAGATGAACATTGCCATCAATAGAGCCATGCTGCTAGCATGGCCAAATAGATAAGACCAATCTAAAACATTAGCTTGATGAGACTAACACATTCATTAACACTAAAAAACATAAGTAGCCATACATCTGTAGATATTTTTGGTAGAATTAAGTTGTTTTTTAAAATGTACTGTTATCAAATTCAAACTGGGTCACTTTGATCTGAAAATGTTTTTCCCTTAAGATAGATTTTTTTTTAAAGGAAGTTGTTATCTGTTCTGTCACACTGGCACAAAGAATTTCAGGTATTTACAAGCATTTGTCTAAGATTAAGAATATGAGGGTGACATCATTGTCTGCAGTGGTGCAGACGGTCACATTAAACTGAACAAACCACTTCAGCTTCCCTCACTTGGCTACCAGAAGCCGGGAGATACTGAAAAACTGACCTCATGCTACATACGAGAAAATGAAAATCACAGAGAGAGAAAGAGGAGAGGGCAGATTAACTGTTTAATCTTTAGGCCATGAAATCTGTGATTGATCTGGGATTACACACTGTGTTTGTGTCTTTGGCCTTGTGACTTACAATACAGGGAAACCTTAGGCAGAATGAAGACCAACTGACACACACACACACACGCGCACACACAAACACACACACACACACACACACACACACACACACACACACACACACACACACACACATACGCTCAAACTAAAAACGTGTTTGTGATATGACTACTACCGTTACCTGTGACTAGACTGTCATTTTACATAGCAACTCTCAACAGATTGCATAGCCTGACAGCAAAAAACAACAACTTTACTGAGAATGTAAACTGACTTTTCGACCTCCACTTTACCAAATTATGTAAACTCCTGTCCATTTTTGCCTGATTGAAATGGAGAAAACACTTCTTCTCCTCTCGCCCACCCACCCCCTAAATCGATTATAATCTCTCATTGTTTTTTGACTGGTATCTGTGCACACACACATGCATGTACATGTGTGCGTGTTTGTGTGGGTGTGTAATCTCTGTGGCACTGCAGGAACGCGGAGTGTGCGCTTGGCCAGTGTTCAGCGGGCAGCTCACAGGATTACGATGACTGTTGCTGCTGCATCTGTGTTTTGGGACATGACAGGCGAATATAAACAGAAGAGGGAGAGGAGATGTTGAGAAATCATGTCTGTATTGACTGAGAGACAATGAAGGGGGGAAAAAATGGGGCTTCCAGTGGGCCGACTCTCTCTAGAGAGAGAGAGGTGCACAAAAGAGAAAGTCAAAAAAGGCAGAGGACAGAAGGGCTGTGTGTTTGTGCTGGATTATTTCTGTGGGGTAGCGTCTGTGTGTTCCAGCTGTGGACAGTGGATTATGCTAAAATTCATGAGGATGTCTGTCTGTCTGTCAGCCTTAGTCAGCCTTTTCTGTGTCTTTCTGCAGAGGAGGATTGCAAACTTTTATGCGAAGGGGAAAAACATATCAGTGCCTATCTGTGACAGCACTCGCATCAACTTGGTGGCACCCTACAGGAGATGACAGACCTGCGGAGGTGCTCTGAGTCTGCACCAGTCAGGAGAAGACAGACACACTGCAGCAACAGTCAGCAGGGTTGGACTTGGCAGCAATCATGTTGTTACACCCTTCCTGCTCCCTGTGCAGCTTTAATCCACTGCTCTGTCCTTCAACATGACAATCCTACACACATGGCGTGGCCTCACACTTGCTAATAACACGTACACACATGTATGCACACAAGAAAATTACTGCTCAACTTGCATAGGGGGGTTTATCACTGACTGAATGAAAAAACCAATCACAGCAGATGTCACAGCAGCTCAACACATGCGTATGCTGCCACAATCGCTTTTGTCATTGCGTATTATGTATACCACCACTGCCCCCCCTTTTATTACACATCCCCAACTCTGATGCCAGCTTTATATGTTTGGCCCCAGCTTAGTGTGATTACACAGCTGCACCTGTTACAGTGAGGCAAGAGTTAGTCTATTCATTCAGACACACACACACACACACACACACACACACACACTGTAAGATCTGGGGATGCCATCTGCAGGAGTGGCCACATCTCTCCGTGTGATTACAGCAGTGCACCTGCTGGCAACAGGCAAGTTTAGTTGGACACAGTGAAGTCTGGACTGACTGAAAAATAACAACAGTGTTGAAATGGTCTGGTTTGACTTCTGCACTGATCAGGAGTAAAGGCATTTAGTTTCAGAGGTTGAATCATTTACATATGAGGATGAAAGGAGTTTGATGCTCCCACTGAATGAAGCAAAACTGGCACTAGGGCACTGAACATCAGACACTGGAAAAACTGAACAAACATTAGTGAAAAGAGCCAGAAAATCGATGAACCTATAGCCCGAAGTACATTGAGAATTGACCTAATTTTAAAAATTATGAAAAACTTATCAGTTGGAACAATTCCCCTCAGTAATAGTTAATAAATAATTTTTTGCTGCTTAAAACATCAGTTATAAGCCAGAGTTCTTTAGTTGCCTGGTTGTCAAAACGTTAACATTTATACCTGACATGATAATCATGGAAGAGGACTTTTCACACCCTGGTGACCCAAATCTTGTTTTCAAATGTTACTGGTTTACAAAAGATTAGTCAATTATTTATATGTCATTAATCAGCAATCAGATACATATTATATATCACTCATAAAGGGTAACTTATCAGAAAGTGGTGACCTGTCTTTTTTTTTTCTTTTTGCCTGTTTTTTTTCATTGATACTTTGATGAAGAAAATGATGAGGAAGGTAATGGTGAGGGTGATGATGAAGGTGATATAAGTAAACTGACTCATTAGTGTTTAAATTAACACTCAAATGTTATATAACAGTAATGTAAAATAGATAAAAGACACTATGATGTTAATATTCAATCATTTATCAAAACAATAGGCTGAAACTATAAAGAACATGTTTAAACTGCCATGCTTAACAACACAGGATACCCATGGATGTGAGCAAGAAGAAGTTGGTAAATAAAAAGGTGATTAGGCCTTTTTCACTATTGTACTGTGATTTCTACTTTTACTTCACTTACAGACTGAGTTTATGTGGGTTTAACCTTTACTGTTCACTGAATGTAGGCTACAACATTTTCATAACATGAAAAACACTGAAATTTTCCCTTGCACATTATTACTTCCATCCTCTATGACTGTATCTCCTCACTGAGAGGATACAGGGAAATCAATGTCTTTTAACCTGGACTGATAACACCGGTGTCATTTCATTATTACTTAACAGGTGCTAAGAAGAGCAGAGCAGCCTACCTGGAACAACACAAGTTGTTATCAGGAATATCCAAAATCCAGTGTTTTCCATGCCCATACCACCGTGGCCAGCGTCTCGCTGTGGTTAAATTCCCAGTGTGCACTTGTTTTCTGCCTCCTGCCCCCCCCAGATTGAACACAGCAGCGGGTTCAGCCTCAGGACCGTATGTTCAAGGTCCCGTCAGGTCTCCATGTCCTCTGCGGCAAACCGAGCTCCCCGCACTCACTCCTGCTTCACTAACTGTCAGCCTGGAAAGCTTTCTCAAACTTGTCCCCGCACCTTGTGTCACTTTTTCTTTCTCCCACTCTTAATTCCGACTTCCCTCCGACCGGTAACGGAGCTGCAGCAGTCTCTGTCCGGCTGAGGCTTGGCGGGGATAAAGCAGCTTAACGCGTGGGCAGATTATTTCCGAGATAGCCTACCCCCAGTCCCGACCGACAACTATCTGTCAGTGTGTGAGGGCTGAGCTGAGCAAACCGCCCGCCGGCTGCTGTGCACATTTAGAGAAAAGGCGCAGTCAGGCTATTTTAAATGAGCAGACTCAATAGACTCAATTAGTGGCCCAGACAGAGGCGTAGCTACAGGAATTAGCTCCCAGTGACTACAGGCCCCCTCTGCTGTGCTGTTGTCCTGATTTCACCATCCACTAATGAAGAGAGATGAAGAGATTTGAACACTGACCTGATCTATAGCTAGTGCTGGTGACTTATAACTTGATATATAAATGAATACAGAGCCTGTGGTGTCATGGAGAAAAAAAATGTGCTCGAATAACTTGTGATCTCTAATTGCTTAATTTGTGCTCTGGATTTAATATCTTTTGCTATTGTCTAGTTTGTTTCCTCCCCTCTTGGAGCAGGAGTGTGAAGAAGACGTACCCTGAATCTGTTTATTCGTGAGCTAGGTGACATCTGCAGTAACGTCACATATTGTACAGAGATGCAGTCTGTGAGTTTATCCTGTAAAATATGTTTAATTAATCTCCAAGATAACACAACATTGTGTTTAACAGCCAAAACCTGAAGTACACCTCTGTCCGAGATCAAAATAAAAGAATGACAATGTTAAGGATATATTCAAGATGAGCCTAATGGTACAATTGTGTGTAAAAGTGAATACATTTAAATTTTAATTATGTGCATGATTTATTCTTTTTTTTCTCCATGACACATCCTGATAGATGAATAAATTAATGGAAAAAAAACATAAATAGAAACGATAATCTGATGCCTGTAAACATATGTGGACTATATGGCCATTGTATAGCACAAAGATATGATAAAATATGAAGCCCTGTATCATACGAATTACATCCACATACATCTATTTTACTAAAGGATTATTGAAAGGACATATAATTGTAAAAGTGGTCTGGTCTTGCTTGTATGGCCAGGATGATTTGCGTAGGAGGGAAGCTCAAGGGAGGAATCCAGTGTTGGCAAGTGAGAAATGACTTAAACTGAAACTGAAAAAGTGCAGGAAACACACACACACTAGGAATAGGAAGAAAGAGTCTTAGACTGTGTCTGAAGATGAAGATGAAAGCTAAAGAAATGATGTAGGAGGCAGCATGACACATCTGTTTGACAGAGAAATGTATTCATGGTGGCATTAATTCAAAGGATTCAAAGGTTTATCTGTCACAATCAATATGTGTAGATAGAGAGAGTGTGTGTGTGTGTGTGTGTGTGTGTGTGTGTGTGTGTGTGTGTGTGTGTGTGTGTGTGTGTCTGTGTGTGTGTGTGTGTGTGTGTGTGTGTGTGTGTGTGTGTGTGTGTGTGTGTGTGTGTGTGTGTGTGTGTGTGTGTGTGTGTGTGACTCATTTCTATGTGGAGTTTTCATATAGGTCAGATTGACTGGAGTTACCTGTGTTATCCTCTTTTATTAAACAAGTGACCTGTCCAAATTCTTACCATCTGCACAGTGCATGCTGGAAACAGCGCAGTCCTCTGTGACCATGACATGGGTAAAAGGAGTAAATAAGTATTCATAAGTTTACCTGCAAAATGTTCCAATGAGCCAACATTTTACTATGTCAAATTTTCTTTTTATACTTGATATTTTTTTCATCCATGTTGTTGTAGCATTTAGCTCAAAAAAAAGAAAGAAGAAAAAGTGGACTTTAGATGATGCAGATGGCTTCCATGTTATGAATCTCAACTTTCCCAGTGCAGTTTCATATCCACCCTCATGCAGCAACCACTAAACGTCACATGGCCCAACACTGTCACCTTGTGATGCAGGCTGTGAACATGCACTCAACTCATTCTGTCAAATTCCTTTTATTGGCCCTAAGGTGGAGACACTGAGCAATCATATGCAAGTCATTTAGCATGACAGTGCTAGAAATTTCTAGGGATGGGGGTGGGGGTTCACAAATTCACCCTGTGCAGACATGCTTTCAATAAAATCTCTATATTCTCTTTAATTTATATAATATAATAATTTCAGTCAATATTTTCACCACTGTACATGTAAATTATAGACTTGTTATATAGAGCACATCACAAGAATCACTCTAATCCTTGTTGAAGTCATTTCTAATTTAAAAGCGCAGCTTTGAAAGTGGAAAAACATAGGGAGAATATCACGTAGAGAGATGTGAAGGGCAAATCAGGACAAGAGAGTTCTGGAAGTGAGACAAAGGTGAGGAGAGGACCAGAGAGGAAAGGAGACAAGGTCATCACACCCTGCTGGTAAAAACAATGACGCTGACCGAGTTTGGTCTCAGCCCGCCTGCCTGCGTGCTTGCTCAGTGTCCTCCGTCAGACACACTGCAGAGGAGAAAGACGAATCAGCATTCTCTGGCCCACCCTCATCCCTCCCACCTCTCTGTGTCGCTGCTACCTTGTCTCAGAAGTGAGATGCTCTGCAGTGCTGCACGCGGAGGCAACTACCACCAGCTGCTTATTACCCACGAAGGCAGGAGCTGCTACATAATCCAGCCCTGACAGGAGGTAAGTCTCCTCAAAGATGTTCGGCTGCAGCTCGGGGGAAGAGGTATGAGCACTGGGGTCTCATCAGGAAGACAAAGAATGGGCTAGAATACGTAGATATGCAAGGCGTGATAAGAGAGAATGCTTATGTTCAGAGATATGTAAACATTACCTTATAACTTCACATTTAAAACTCATTATGTAATATTAGGCTTAGGATAGTGATATGTGCAAAACTGCGTCAAGGGCAGTGGGAAAATGTGAGGAAGAGTATAACAAATAGGCAATGGAAAGGAGAAAAAAAAACCTCATCTGTTTCATATTTCACTTTGGATCATGACCAGTCATTGGATTTGGCCAAAGGTGGACTCCGGTTCTGGAGACAACTAGAGGACATTTACATTTAACATTCACAAACTAGATCAGAACATCTCAAACTCTTTGACTTGGGACCCAGATCACAAAGTCATGTCTGCTGTATCAAAAGAAGGATGTTGTCTTTTTAGTTTGTTTCCTTTGGGATCTTTTTGTTCTTTTTTTCTTTTTTTTTTTGGTCTCCATGCTATGAATGATGTCATGACCTCACCTAAAATTACCTCACAACTGTCTAGAGAGCCTGACCTGCTGATTAAGATTAGATTAGATTAGATTGTCTTTGATATGATGTGGTTTGCAATGTGGTTTCCTCTCTCACATTTCCTCTCTTGTTTTTCAAAGTTGCATGGGTGCTTTTCCATCATGCTCAAGTCTCTGTTTGTGTATGGAGTGCTGGGAGGTGAGAATCATTTTTAAGAATATATGGTATATAAATTCTAGTAAAAAAAATATCATAAATGAAATATCTCTACATATGCTCTTATCCCCTTTGTGTTTATTCACATACCCTTCTCTGTTTTGCCCTAGTGTTGCTGATTCCGGCAAAGTGCAGTCAAATCACTGTGTGCTTGGAAGATGACAGGGACCTGAGAGTAGACTGTCTGGTCAAGCCCGAGCCTAACAAGATCAACAGCTATGAGTTCTCTTGGTCCTCTGGCAACAAAGAGTCCCTCATCAACACCAATGTGTCCGGTTCATCAGCAGAAGGCCAGTTCAAGGAAAAAAGCACCGTGGTGGAGCTGGAGCCCCATGGCTACAGAATGACCCTGTCCGGCTTCACAGACAAACTCCCACACAACACCACTTACATGTGCAGAATAACTGGGGAGGTTGCCAAAGTCCATGTGGAGGCAGGTAGGTGGGGTGATTGTGTGTGCGGATTTGAGGGAGTGAGCGTGAGAGTAAGTGAGTGGGAGACATATTAGAGAGGTTTTTGGTTTTTTTTTTCAACTGTTTGCATCCCACTTTTCTTCCTCTGCAGAACAACTTGTCCCGTGTTCAGCGGTAAGCCTGTTTCTGAAGAGCTCCGGTTCCTGGATCGTTTGTCTGCTGCTCGCCTTCTACCGCCCACATAGCTAAAGAAACATGCAGTCTTGCGCCAGCACATACAAACACACATCCAACCACGCCTATGCATCTGTCCGCATCTGCAAACATCCCAACACTAACACCACATGTTAAAAAGATGTTGTCAACAGCTTGCAGCTGTTTTCCTCCCAAGAGCACTGAGTAGAATTAAAATGTGTTTTTTGTAACTCTCTTTGATGAGAAAGAATGAAGGTGACTCAAAGAGTCAGCAGAAATGTTTAGAGATGTGCTTTTTTGGTGCTGAGGCTCACACTGTATTGTATGTGTATAAATGCACTCCCATGTAAATATTACTTTGGAAGCTGGAGCATTTGTTTTCAATAAAGGGATGCTGTTTAAAGTCAGACGTTGACTTGTTGTGAATACAATGTCCATGGGACAGAACTGGGGTTCAGATGGTAATAATATGGTCCAACAGGATATTCCGCCGTTTTTAAAGCTGTGTAATAAACATAAGCTCTGTAATGTTGGATACAGACGTTACTAATGTTAATAATGACAGCTAATGTGTTCCATCATTAGAATTACAACATGTGTGATTGATGATTCAGAGTTGGGTGAGGAGCATCTGAGTTACAGCACATGTACAAAAGGATACACACCCTTTGGAAGTTTTCATGTTTCATTATCATACAACACTGAATCAAAGTAAATGTAATGTGGCTTTTTTGACACAGATCAACTAAAAAAAAAAAAACTTTAATGTCAAAATGAAAACAGAGTATTTTCTGACTTAAATAAGAGTAACATCCCGAACATGGCCAATACACCTTTTCCAAAGCAGATATTTTGACTTGTCACAGCAGCAGAGACTTTAAGAGAGTTTAATTACATTAATTATGGCTCTGTTTCATTTAAGGGTTCAAGTAAGCCTCACCATTCAGCCAGCATGCACAATGCAAAGTCTTGAGAACTGCCAAAACTAATTCATCAATTCCTTATTAATTACACCGGTGTTTTTCCTGCTTTGGAATGTTAAAATGTATGCTGTGAAAAAGATCTTTAGGTTTTAGAAGTTACATTTGTCGACTGGAGATCGTCATTGTGTCTGCAATATTTGGCGAGGTAGTACAGCTGTAAAACCTCTTACCATGTAGACAAAGGAACACTTCAAGCAACTCAGCGAAAACCTGATTGAAAAGCACAAGGGGTGGATACAGGCAAATTTCCAAGTTGCTGAACATCCCTTAGAGTAAGCTAAATGAACGCAGATATAAATCAGCCAAGAGCAGACTGTCCTCAAAACTGAGTGACTGTGCAAGAAGACTGGTGAGGGAAAGACCTGTGAAAACCCTGAAGGAGTTTCAAGCTTCAATGGCTCAGATTAGAGAGACTGAGCAGACAATAAAACGTGGCCGGTTGCTCTACCAGTGACAGCTAAATGGGAGAGTGGGAGAGAGAAAGACCTGCACAGAAATGGCTTAAAATAAGAAAATGTCCTGGAGTGGCTGAGCTAGGGCTGTTCACTCACAATGCTGCACGCAACCTGAGAGACCTATCCACTCAGACTGAAGGCTGTAATCTTTGCTAAATTATGACTTACTACTTGTGCAAACAAATATTTTGTCATTTATAGTTGTAATTATTTCAGAACACTTTGTGGATATCTATTTTCCGTTGATCCTTGCCCAAAAAGCCATATTAAATCCACATTGATTTAATGTTGGGAACAATAAAACATGAAAACGTCCAAGGGGGCTGCCTTTAATTTGATCTAACTTCAAAAATCAGAAATATAGTAATATTGCAGGAGGTCACAAAGGCATATAATCCTCTCTATCTATCCCACAAAATCTAATGAGTTTGTTTGATTATTGTTGGAACCTATGGAGCCCCAGTGCACCAAGTGTCAAATATTAAGACACCAGGAAATAAATAATCCTATGAAGAAATAGAGTGAAATAAATGAAACAACAAACTGAGAAAGTTATTCAGTCATTCTTATTTTCACTGCGGCAGCGTTTTTTTTTTCATGGTAGATTTTGTTTTACGTTTTTCTTTCCAAACGCTCCATATTTTCATGCCATTAGCTACAGTATGGCTTATATTTCATGACTGTGCAGTGTCACCAGTCACTACCTAAACCAGACTGAAATTTTAAATTACAAACGAGTACTCATTTAAACACACATTCGCTATTTAAATGTACACTTTAATGAGGCAAAAATAAAACATCTGAGACCTTATACAAAATCTGTCCACTGGTACAAGCTATTTTAGAGCTTGTCAGGGCTTCACATCCGGAACTTGATTCAGTCGAAATAGACGTTCATGACCCTCCGTGTTATCCGTAGTTTCCGAAAACATAATGATGGCCGCTTTCGCTGGTAGCGGTAAAGGACCAGAACTATCCAAAGCTGAGTACCTAAAACGGTACTTATCCACCGATGAAGATGCCAAGAAATCAAAGGGGAAGCTTAAAAAGAAACGACATAAAGTTCCTGAGAAAGGGTGAGTCGATGGGGACGTTTTAATCAAGTTGTTGCCGGGCATATTGTGTGCGAGTGTGCGTTAAGCTAGTTGAGGTCGCTCCGTTCACTGCCTTAAACTCCATGTTTTGAATGAAAAGTGTTTGTGAAGTTACCAAACTCATTTTTACTTCTTTCATTTTAGACTTAAAATTGTAGACGATGACATAGACTGGAAACAGATGGTCCAAGAGGAGAAGGAGGTTGAAGAGGACGAAGATGAAGCTCCAGTGGTAAGAATTTACAGCTAGCATAATCTCGCTGTTTGGCCCGAAACCATTCATTTTAATTGTATGGATGTTATTTTCTTCTGGGATTCATCGGTTTATTTTATGGTTTGTAATAAAATATAAATTTAACAGAGTAATTAAGAGATAAGTTTAATTTAAATGTAGAAAAAATAACTTCAAAATGCATTGCTTTGTTGACGGACAAGCGTGTCTTGAAAAAGAATATGCAATTTTACATCAATGTATGTTGTGATAAGACCAGCTTTAAAGTGAAGTCATTTATTTTGATGATAGAAAAGTCATTTTTGATAGTGTTAGAAAGCTTTTTTTCATATATTCATAGTAAATTGAATGTCCTTGGGTTTTGTTCTGTTGGTCGAGTAAGACACTTGAAGATGTAACCTCGGCTCAGAGAAATAATAGCTGCCTTTTTCTCTTCACTATTTTCTGACATTTTAAGATTTAAAGTAATTAGCTGATTAATCGATAATGAAAATAATCATTACTGGCAGTTCTACTGCAACCAACAATTATTTTCTGAATAATTTTATGTGAAAAATGCTGATCACAACTTCATGAATCCCAAAATAGGCTCTTCAAATTTCTTGTTAGGTCTGATACAAAACTTCCAAAATTATGCAATTTGATATTACATAAGATAAAGTAAATCAGCAAAACCTTACAGTTGAGAAGCTGGACAAGGTAATGTTTGGCAGTTTTACTAAAAAAAAATGTATGAAAAGATTTGTCAATAGTTGCTCATTATTTTTGTGTCAATCGACTAATAATTGATCATTACAGCTGTAGTTTTGATATTGTTATTTTTCTGGAAAATCGAGCTCCATCATCACAATGATGGAAAAACCATATCCATTATTGCCACAAGGCAGTTCTCCTCATTGATTTACAACATTGCATATAATACTCCTGGCTGTCATGTTGCCTAATGTTCTCTTAAAACTGTCTTGTTTGTCTACGCAGATAGCTGAGGTGATTGATGATCGACCAGACGAGGTGAAACAGTTAGAAGCCTTCAGAACCAGCAACAGATGGAAAGTGATAGGAGGTAATTGGTATTTGTGAAAGATGTAGAAAGAATCTTTGCCTGTGTGGTGAAGAAGATCGTTATTTACTTTGTTTCCTTTCCTTATAGCTGATGAAGATGAAGACACAAGCAGGGGCCACCATGACTCGCCAGAGCTGTCATCAAAGAGAGGGATGCATGATTCTCCTGTCAGAAAGACCCGCCACGACTCTCCAGACACATCCCCTCCCAGGAGAGGTCGCCACGACTCTCCAGACATATCCCCTCCCAAAAGAGGCCGCCATGACTCGCCAGACTTGTCACCTCCACGGCAACATTCAGGGAAATCAGGAAAGGTGCAAAGTAAAGGTGAGTGTTTAGACGCAATATTGGAGGCTGAACCGAATCTCTTATTGCATAGGGCAGGTTAATATGAACAACAAAAACATCACAACAACCAAAAGACCCTCCAACATCAGTATACGTTATTAAGTTAGTTAAGTTGCCCTGTTGACATCCATCACATTTGATTGCTTGATAATTAAAGGTCAAACTGAAACACTGAATTTTCATTTTGCCAGAACTCTATATGGACTTAAGAAATCATTATGAGAAGACTCTGTCTTTCAGATAGATATTAATTTGGATAATAATATTGTGTATCAGGATGTACAGTTTAATTTAAAAATGTAGTAATATAATTACATTGAAATGTGATAAATGACACATCAATATATTAATCAGTCAGCCTAATACTTTCTAGATTTTACTGTCACCCCTCAAATACAACTGGCCTAACAACTTGCACATGAGGAACGTATTTTTGGTTCAAGTGTTTAGTTTTACACTTAACTAAACACCTAATTATTTCTTCTTCAGATTCACCCCCCAGCAGAAGAAAGCCCAGCTCATCATTGTCAAGTAACAAACGTTCACCTGATCCTCGTCGGTCACCACTGGCAAAGAGGGCTCAGAACAGGCATGATTCCGACTCTGACCAGTCACCTCCACGAAAAAAGCCACAGAAGAGAGAAGCATCGGACTCTGACCAATCTCCTCCAAGGAGGCACTCAAAAACAAGACACGGCTCTGATTCTGACCAGTCTCCACCCAGGAGGCGGCCGCGGAGTGGAAAGGACTCGGATGAAGATCTGTCACCACCTCGTAGACCTGGCCAGTCACAGGTGAGGAAAATTGTGTTAGTTTGAAGACTAATTCAAAATTTGATTTGCCTGAGATTGCTGTATGTTTTCATTGTTTGTTTGTTTGTTTTTTTTCTTGTCAGGGCCACAGGATGCTTTCTGGTGGGAAGGCAGGTCTGGTTTCTGTAGATGTTTTAAGGAAAGAGCAGGAGGAGAACCGACGCAGAGACAGACACAACCAGCCACTAGAAGGTTGGCCCAGCTTTTTCTCTTCTAAGATACTTTTCCTTCACAGCTGTTGGTGGCAGAGCTCACAGGACTTTCTATCTCATATCTACATCATCCATGTAATCTCCAAATGTTTACAGATTTCTTTGGTCACAATCGGGATTAGTTCCTTTAGAGCTGGATGATGCAATCCTCATTCAGGTGACACGTTATACCTATTTTTCTGCTATGAATAGATGAATCCCGCAATTCCCAGACGGTGTTCCGAGACAAGAGCGGTAAAAAGAGGGATTTGGATTTGGAGAGAGAAGAACAGAAGAAGAAAGCTGGAGAAAAAGCAGCAAAGGATGAGAAATATGCTCAGTGGGGGAAAGGGTGAGTCTGCATAAAGTTCTCACACATTAGATAAGGCTACTGAGTGTGATGACCGCATAATGAATTGAAATGTGCTTTGTGCCAACTTGTTTCCATGATATAAAGTCAGTGTGTGTTTATAGGTTGGCCCAGGGCCAGATGCATCAGCAGAAACTTGAAGATGCACTGCACGAAGCCCAGAAGCCGCTGGCACGTCACTACGATGACGAGGATCTCGACCGTATGTTGAGAGAGCAGGAAAGGGAGGGAGATCCCATGGCTGCGATGCTCAGACGGAAAAAAGCTCGCAGCACAAAGACACAAGGTGCGAAACATTACATACACGTACATTTATCCTTGAGTTGACTGATCCAAAGTGGTTGTTTACTTAGCGTATACATTGTAAACTGTCTTATTTTTGTTTTGCAGAGAAGCCTCGGTATCGAGGTCCAGCACCACCTCCAAACCGGTTCAATATTCAACCAGGCTATCGCTGGGATGGAGTTGACAGGTACTGTGTGTGTGTGTGTGTGTGTGTGTGTGTGTGTGTGTGTGTGTGTGTGTGAGAGAGAGAGTCTGTGAAAGTGACCTAATGGGATGTATTAGTAATAGGAGTAATGTCAATACATGTAGCAGATCCCTTCTTCATACTATTTTCTTACATCTCATAGAGTTGCACTATTGACAATACTAAATACTATACCTACACTATTGTACAATATGTGATATCATGATCACAATTTTGGCTTCTACAATGAGCTTGATAGGGAGCTTTTATTGAAGATTTACTCTGCTGTGCCAAATCAAAGATGGAGTTGAGGGTGTCATTGCAGAAATAAAAATGGAATTTCATTTGTTTTTCTCTCGCAGATCAAATGGTTTTGAACAGAAACGCTACACACGGATGGCAGACAAAAAAGCTGGCCAGGAGGCAGCTTATAAATGGAGCGTGGAGGACATGTAACGGCAATCAGATACTGATTATTTAGGAGCAGCGCAGGTCCACTGAACCTCAGAGAATTAGCTGAATGGGATATCTACTCTGTGATGTTAGAACAGCTGCAGATTAGACTCATTTACTCAGCAGAATTGATGTGTTGATGCATTTTGTTCACCTTTCCAGAGCAGTTTGGTCCTGTACAACTGATATCAGATTATTACAAACTGATAAACCACAAACATAACTGTATATAATAGTGAGGTGACAGCATCTTTATGATTTTGTAATAACGGGTTCAATGTGGAGATGTGGTTTTCACTGTTTTATTAAATAATGTTTTTGTTAAGTGTTGTGCCCTGAATCACAAGTGTTCACAAACAGTGGTTTGGGGAGTTAGTGTTTTTGTTTGGGGTATTTTTTGTTGTTGTTTTTGTTTTGTTTTAATGGGTTAGGGTCACATCTGTGAGAAACATATCTTTCTTTTGGACCTTTAACAGATCTTTAACACCTTCTGGTATTATGGTTCCAGGATATGTGGACAAATTCAAAAAGTGTATCTAAATGGTGTCTGTGATGATTCTCAGTCATCCAGGTCATAGAGCTCTTCAAAGTCAACTGGACGTTTCGCCTCTCATCCGAAAGGCTTATATAATATCAGGCTCCCAATTTAACCACAGATGAAATGTCAAATAATGCTGCTGTGTGTATATAGATCTCATTCACAGCAGATATTTTGACATGTAATATTGATGACAGCCATTTAATTGTCTGAGTATGTTTTCAGTGAGTCAGCATGCATAAGGCCCTGAGCTGGAACACATGAATGAAACTGAACCATCATCTTCATTACTGATGATATAATTGATTTTCCTCCAATGAGTCGGATTGTCTGCTGTAAAAAAGGCTATTAGTCCTACATGAAATGGCATGCAGGGGGAAGTTATACAGGAATACTTAGTACAAGACAATGAGGACATTTAATCTTTGTTTTTTTTAGAGTAACCGGGCCTTTAGTGGAGATTGTTTTGTCAATTTACTTTTTCCAAGGTGAAGAATCAGCTTTCATGTTAAACTTTCAAGCCAATACAGATGAGAAATCATAACAGTGCTATAGATTAAACCATAACAGCTTCTGAGTTCAGGTCTCAGCAGATCATCCTCATGACAACTGAGCAAACTCTTGAAGAAGATGGTAGTTGAGTGGTTGAAAGCCCCAGATGAAACTAGTAAGTAGGCTCTGAGTTTATAAATGAGAGAAATTATAATTTTGGACTTGTATACCTGTAAATATGGCGATTTTTTTATTGTTTTTGTTCTGTAAATTACTGTTTGTACGAGTTGTGATTTTTTTTTAAAATACACAAATATACAGTGAGTGCTTGTACAAAGTAAGAAATCTGAGTTTGGTCAGTTGGGGACGGTTCTTCTCTGTAGAGCGATTTTATTTCCTGTTACTTTAATTCCGTTTACTTATCAGCAAAAAATCCAAATAACCGTACATCTCTCTTTATTTACGTAGAATTACAAATAAGGACAATTGTCTCGAGCCCGCATGTTTCCAGCATTGAGTATAAAATGGTCAAGTAGGAACCTTTAAAACATGTCAGGCCGTTTCATTACGGAATGTTTTTGTGGACGTACGTACTACAGCCTGTTCTGTTGTGGTAGGTGAGTAACGTCTGAAACTCGTGTGTGGAAGAAAGAGACTTTTAGCCTAAGTTTGGGTAGAAATGGTTGATTGGAGTCCGATAGCGAAGGTGTACGACCCGCTGAAAGCTGGCAGCATCGACGGGACGGACGTGGAGCCCCATGACCGGGCGGTATGGAGGGCTATGGGTGCCCGATACAAGCCTAACAAGGGTGTTGTTGGAGACCCGCTGCTCACTCTGTTTGTGGCTCGTTTGAACCCCCAGACAACCGAAGATAAACTCTATCAAGTGTTCTCCAAGTACGGAGACATCCAGCAGCTCCGACTGGCCCGGGACATCGTCACGGGCTTCTCCAAACGATATGCCTTCATTGAATACAAGGAGGAGCGGTCTGTTGTCCGGGCCCGCCGGGACGCGAACAAACTGGTGGTGGATCAGCACGAAGTGTTTGTGGATTTTGAACAGGAGAGGGCGCTTAAAGGATGGGTCCCGCGTCGGCTCGGCGGCGGGCTGGGAGGGAAGAAGGAGTCCGGACAGCTGCGGTTCGGTGGCAGGGACAGGCCGTTCCGTAAACCCATTAACCTCGGTGTCGGCCTGGTGCAGGAACGGGGAGGTGGTGGAGGTGGAGGGAGAGAGTGGGACAGACAAGGGGCGAGAGACAGGGAGGACCGGGACCGATACAGAGAGGCTGAGTGGGGCGGCAGATCGAGGAGGGATGAGCGGGACAGAGGCAGAGAGAGGGATGACCGCAGACACGGTGACAGGAGCAGGCACAGGGACAGAAGATGAAGCCCGTATTGATCATCCAAATTACTGATCTCACCTGGTGCACATGAAGCTTGATGCTTTGATGCACAGTCCAGCTGCCTGCCTCCAATGGAGAACTTTTAACCCAAGACAGTAAAGGAAAGTGTGACTGTTGAGGCTTGTAGCACTGGTCTATGGAAAGAGCTATAACAGATGACCCTCTTATGGTATCATGATATCAGTTTGGCTTGATGTTCAGTAGATGCTGGACCGGGTATTTTCAGCTGGTACTCTTCAGCATTTCTGACTTAGTAGGCCTTCATACTTTTGTAGTGTGCACTGAGCAATAAAACCCATGTTCTATTTAACTATATTTTTTAAATAAATTCACTAATTTTTTTTTATTATGTTGATGTCCAGCCAGGTGAAGCCCATAAGCTGTAAAAAAAAAAAAAACAGGATCCACAACTAAATGGATAAAATACCAAAAAAAAATTTTTAATTTTTTCTTTTTTAAATTATATTATACACCTATAAAGTACCTGTAAATCAGACTGAATCTGTTAAGATTTCCTATGTTGTGCAGTTTAACAATGTCCTGTGGAGCATCATAATTGGCAAAAGCCACTGAAGGGTTTCTGCAACACTGGCTCTAAAAGGTGTGTTTCCTTGTGCATAGTTGCAGAAAGGTATGAAGATTTTCCTCTATTATGGGTTGCATTGTGCTCTATGAAAGAGGTGATTGAATGTTTTTTTTTATTGTCCTAATTTATATGTAGCTCTGCTACTAGCAAATTTGCTGTGGAATTGTATTGCAAAAATTACAGCATCAACCAAATGCAAAGGCCACCAATTTGAATTCTTAAAATTGCAACTCCATTCCTTACCATTAAAACTTTTGTTGTTGTTTTTATTGTTGTTATATTTTTGTTGTTATTGGTAGCCAGTGGAGTTATTCAAAAATAATCAGTCAAAAGCAAATTTGAAAATGAAACTAAGAATGATAATGACAAAATAAATAATCATATACAGACAATAGAGACAGAGAAATTAGAATGTGCAGGATGTCAGTCTTTTAACATACAGTGTGATGAAAGTTATCCACCTCTGTGACTCCTGCTGAAGTCTTAGCTCATCTGTTTAATCCTGGGTCCTGCCCTTGGATCAGATCATATTGTAGTTATGAGTCACCGAGTGGAATGTTTTCTCTCAAGCTGACCACAAGTATGAAGTCATCAATGTGAAACGCTAAAGCTCTGGTGTTAGCATTAGCTCATTAAGTCTTATCCAGTGACTCCACTCCAGTGAACACATAGTCCATTAGCTCATCAGACTGAGCTGGCTGGTGGGAAATTCATCACTTGTGTCCTGAGAAGAAGTTAAATCTGAGAAAAGTTTGTGCTGAAAAGAACTGATTCCTTAGTAACACTGATGTAACAGAGTGAACAAAGCAACTAAATAATGTAATTACACTTAAAAAACAAATGTGTGCCATGAGGAAGCACTTCCTGAGAAAAGACTATAATTCCAGATAGGTGCAATCTCATCAACACATAAACCTCTAACTTTCACTGAATTCATGTCTAAACTGAGTATAAGATTAAAAGTAATGACTTAATATGCTTTTCATGAGTTGAGACAGTGTGATTGATGCAAAGACACACAAACAAAACCCACAAAACTGTCATGTGTTTCACTCGTTTATGAAATCTTATTTATTTCTGTGCATTGTATGATTGTAACATCATCACAGGAACAAACTTGGATTTATAGCGAGGATATATCACAAGAGTCTGAGGTGACTGTTCTGTCAAACTTTTTTTGCCTAGAAGTGCACATGCAAGCTGATTTCTTACATATGTTGAAGACTATCTCTGAAAAGTGTTTGGTTGTCCGGGCGAGGCCGGTCTCAGACTGCCAGCATACCTGCAGTTCACGATGGGCCAACCAGGGTAAGTCTCTCTTTGGACTGTGCTAAACTCGATCCTGTGAACCAAAACGTACACGGACACTGATGAACTGCTCTCTACAAGAAGCTGGAGTCCACTGTGATGTGCAACTTCTTCAGCTCTCACCTGAAGGCAGGGTTGATGCCAATGTTGTCTGGCTGCGGGAGGGCAGGTGTTCGCCTCCTGCGGAAGGAGGATGGAGGAGGGAAATCCTTCTGATACTGAGACTGCATCTCTGTTGTAACTTGTTCATTTTTCAGTGCTGTCAACCCCGTCTGATCATGGTTGCCCTCTTGCTCGTCCTCCCCTGGTTCCCTGTCCCTGCTGCTGCTGTTTCCTCTTCCTGTTTGTCTCGAGGATGTTGGATGACGACAGTGGGACTGCTGCTGCATGCCCTGGGTGAAATGGTCTCCTGATGGGTAATCATAAACTTGTTAAGAGTTTCATTTGAAACACAGTAATTGAATATCGCTGAAACATCTCATCTTTCCATTTTAAGGAGGCAGCACCAGGAAAAAATATAAAAACTGTGGTAAAACACCTATCTTAACTATTAACAATCAAAAAGATTCAGTGGCTTTTTCTGATTTCTTAATCAAAGGCTTATAATTCCTAAATATCTTATGTAAATCCTCCCAGAGTCATTCATTTGCACTGTATGATACTAGTCTTCTTTAATTTGGATAAATGAAAATTAAATTATTAAACTATCATACCATTTTATTTATGGACCTGTAACATTATATCTTAATGCCAAACTAAAGGCTACACCCTCATTAGTTTAGCCAGTACTTTGCTCGCAACGTTTAGCAATTAATAAAATTGTAAATGGGTCAGTATAATCCTTTTTTTGTTTTGTTTTTTTGATACACAAGTGACAGCATTTTTAAGTTTAACCTTATATGGACGTATTTCTGTTATATTTTTTTAAGTATTACTGTATTATTATTATTTCACTCTAATGACAGTGCCTTATTTATATTATGAACAATTAAACCTTTAAATGAAAGAACAAACTCATAAATCACTTCCCCTCATGCACAAACCTTTTCCAAAACACACAAATATATATATATATATATATATATATATATCCACTAAACACAACACAGTGACATGCCCTCTGTCAACACTGAAACACTCCACACAAACCACAAACGCAAGTTATCTTAAAACTGATAAGTTGAGTTTACTCTCTCCAGGCTGAGATAAGACTTCAGACCTTTGCTTCTGTCTTGTTGTGGGATGGGCCTAAAGCAGAAAGCCTCCCGTGACGTGGTCTCCATTTTAGCAGGAGTGTCCGGGTAGAGGAGAAATCCTGGGGAGGGTAAAAAGTGCCTGATTACAGGAAGACAAGGTTTTCCGTTTTGAATGTATATCCTGTAATCAAAGTATTTGTGCATGGTTAAAATGAGACAGTTTAGTTATTGGCATTTTCTTTTTTTAACACACTACTTTGGAGTAATTCCAGCGAAAACATCTCCACAGCTGGACTAACCTCACTTAACATCTGCTGAAATCCTTCCAATCAGGCTTTTTTTTTCTAGTGTTTGAGCTGGAAACCCCCAGACCAGTTCTCTATCCTTGTTTAAATTATAAGAATTGGCGGTGTAGGTCATGGCTCATTTAGGCCCATTTACTTTGACTGCAGAGTAAAAATAATAATGTGTAATGACAATGACACTAAACACTGTATTGATAAATGTGATATAAATATAATGTTTTATTTTCCACTGAAGCAAAATTACAGACATAGTGCTAATTTCGGATATTTTAGTTATTCTCATTAGTGTGAACTTCGACATTCTGTCCACTATGCATAGACTTCACTATTCAAATACATGATGAAGAAAACTTAATCCACCTGAACCACAACATATTTAATCAGAATAATCTGATCTCAGAACATCACAAACTTTGGTCTGACTCTGGGACAAAAGAGCAGTTAACCTTTACCTGCCACCGTCGGCAGCTCCCCCCTGTAGGGTCGACTTCGCTGAAAGAATTCACGGTGGCAACGTGGGTGTCGTTGGTTGGCATTTTCAATGAACATTTTGTCTGTCGGCTCCTCGTTGTCCTGTTGGCTCACTGGCATCACCAGCAGCTCTGAATCTTTGGTGTCTGGTCCAACAAGTACTGTAAAAAATGACCACAGCTTTAATGTATTCAGTAGTTGCAGAAAGAAACAAACCTTAAAAGTGTCACAGTTTTTATGTCTTTCAAATAACAACCAGTATAAAGCCTTGGACAGCTCTGAGGAGAGTTACTGTTTTGCTTACCTTACATGTAGAAAAAACACAAGATGTGGTACACTTCTGTAGTCTCCCTATACTGTCTACAATTCTCTGTACTGTGTGTGTGTGTGTGTTTGTGTGTGTGCGTCAGGCAATATACAGAGCTACTTAAAGCTTGTTTACGGCAGTAGTCATGGCATCCTATTCTTCTGCAGTGACTGGCAGATACAGTAGTTACCAACTGAGACAATAAAGCAGCCGGACCACCAACAGAGAGCTGAAACTTTGCAGTGGCTGCTTGCACAGACAGTTTTAAAGGGGAAACATAGTCCAGTATTAAAGGGCTTGCAGCAGGGCTGTACTAAAGGCAGTATTAAAGAGCTGATTAAACCGGGGAGAAAAAAAAAAAAGACTCAACGTGAGCTGAGCCTTGTTTCCAAGGTAACATGTCTAAAAGGTCACGTCTTGCAACAGTGACTCATGTAAGATGTATAGTAGCAAGTATGATGATGATAAAATAGATCTCACTGCAGTTGTGTTTAGTCACACACACCACACTGTCAAAGAAGAAAATGAAAACATGTTGTCTATTCAGTGGTTGCCCCGGAGCATTTGGCCCACTCTCAGCAATGCACTGTGCCTCCCAGTTTTCAGCTGGCATAAATCCCAACTATATTTCTTTCACATTAGTTTCGTCCAGTAACTTCTCAGTAGGGAGACTTACACTTGTGAAAGTCCAATGAATCATTATAACTAATACAACCCAAGGTATTCTGTGGTGTGAATGTTCCTGCAAACTTGCAAGTCAATTTCATTACAATACTGTGGTTTATTTGTGTTGTGGGCTGAGGGAGGTAAGACATTATTTTAACATTATCGCATACTTTCTCTATTGTGCGTGCATATTTTCATGAGAGTGTGTGAGAGCTATTTTGAATTATATCCTACTGTGCATCATGTACAGTGATAGCTCGTAGTAAGATAACAGATAAGGTTCCTATCTTTCAAAAAACAAATCTCATTCACAATTTAGGTTTAAGTCCATACAAAAAATCCCTGCAAAACATAGCAGAAACAAAATATACACATTTTATAATCTATAAACTTGCATTTGGTAGGTAGAGGTTTTCTTTGAGTGTTATATCTACTAATGCTATTATCACCTGAGGGAAGCACACTATTGAACACCTACATATTTATCATTGCTGTCTTGGACAGGGCATGCTCCAACTCATACTCCAACTCATACTCTTTAGAGGAACTTGATTCAAACTTAAAAATGTGCAGCTTCTTTGGGTGACATGTGTTCCTCTATTCAAAATGTTGATACCGTTTATACGTTTTAGGATGTCGTAACTCTTTTGTCATATTCTCATGAACATGATCAATGAAGAACAACACATTGTAGAAACATCTATCGCATGGAGTAGATGATCTGATTAGATTGTGGTGAGACTTGCTGCACACATTTGCGTATCAATGAGGTAAAATAGATTGAAAAAAAAAACTTCTATTACCTTTCTTGATGACAAACCATCAGAAAAGTAAACACACATGGTATTTTGTCAAAGGCAAACCGAGTGCCTCTTGTTCAACTTTTTTTCCAATAAAATAAATCTGTGGAATGGTCAGTTGGTCATAATTCACTTAAACTTCCAGAGATACTGTACATAAACTGTTTACAGTGTTTGCACTTCAAGTCAACACTTCAACTTACTCTGAAATTATACAACTGACTGACTTACATTTATCACCCAACATTCAACTTTTAACTATTTTCAGTTCTTTCACAACAACTAACCCCTCAATTCCTTTCAGCACTTTCACTTCCACTGACACTGAGTTAAAAAACATTTTAACTTTATCTAGCGCTTACACTTTGAATGAAACTTAAACTCTTTTCAGGATTTCTTCTTTAGCTGCCACTTAGGCTTCTCTCATTACTCCCACTTTTAACTCTTTCAGTGCCTCCGATTCGTTTGCTTTCAATGATAAGCCTTGCTGGATATGATATGTTTTTCTAATAATCAATAAATCCCACGAATGATCAAAAACACCAATAAACTGTCTGTGTTGGCAAAGCCTGAAAAAAACATTCTTCTGGGCTGTAGGCCTCCTTTGTTATCCAAAAATGTTTGAACTGGGTGACATGTTCCTTTAATACAGTGAACATGGGTGCTATGGTTTATTTACAATGAATCCTTTGTGCAATATCACACATGTGTAATCTGTGGCTCTAGTCTAGTTACAGTGCCCAAGTGTTTTTAGGAAATTACTTAGCCTTTTTTAAAAATAGAAGAAGTATTGCTTAGTTTTGGTCTTTTTATTGAATTTGTTGACAATAGAAAATATATACTATAACTTAAACTATTAGCCTATAATGGTCCAGACTATGTAATTATTGTTTTCATTAAGGCAAACTTTGCACTCATTTTTGCACGCGCCAGCAGGAGTCTCTCGTTCCCATAGTAACAAGCCTTCATTTAGAGCCGTATGCAGCCTGAGTTAGCACCATAGTCTCTGCCGACAGCTTTGTTGCGTCTAAAACTAAGCTCTAACTGCTTTCTTTTTGCGACGGACGGTGTTTTCTATGTCAACTGATAAGTCACTAAGAAGTCGAAAGAACGTTATATTCGAATATTTTAAATTAAAAGGTGAGAGAAGCAGCGTGGAGCTCGTCGTATAACCTAGCCAAACTTTCTCTGTCAGAGACTCTGCTGTTTCAGTGTCCGGAAGTTCTGTGGGGGAAAAGTGAGAAAGGCATGAAAAAAAGGAGCTGGAAGGAACTTCTGACAAATTTTCTCCGAGCACAGTGAAACACTGTTTTCTCTCGTTAAACCTGCGGAGGGGACAGAAGCCGCGTTTTGCTGTATTTATCTAATAACTGGCTGTGTGTATTAATCTATCGATGGGTCTGCCGACGCTGGAGTTTAGTGATTCTTTCCTGGACAGTCCGGAGTTCAGAGAGCGACTGCAGTGCCATGAGATAGAGCTGGAGCGCACCAACAGGTTTATAAAAGACCTCATCAAAGATGGAAACATGCTCATATCTGCCCTTAGAAGTAAGTACACGTTGTTACACAAAGTTACTCAAACAGCAGCTGCCTGATAACAGGGTAACCTAAGGCCATCAAATCAGATAGAGCCAATGTGCTGAGTTTAGCCCACATTACACTTAGTTAATAGTCTTTACATTGACTTGTGTTTGGTGGTATTAACAGCACAGTTAGATAGGTAGTCACAGTGATATGCATAGGCCACTGTGTTGATATAATGTTACAAGCACAGACATTTTAATTTAGTGCCACTCTCTGGTAAGGCACCATTTATAAAGGGTTTTAAAAACTGTAATTAATGGTTAACAAATCGTGTGGACAATCCTGCTGCATGACAGCATGGTTTTTTAGCTCTTTAATTCCTGGGCTGCAGGACATCTGGACCAAAATCCATGTATAAACCTCTTATTAACATTTACAACTACAGATTTATTATGGTTTAACAGTTTGACTCACATTGAGTTTGACTAGCTGTTCATTGAAATGCAAAACTTAAAGTAGTTTACATGAGGACAGAATAACAAAATGTTAAATGCCTATGGTAAGAGCGGTTTTCATTGCAAAGTAATAAAATGGCTGTGTGTTTCTATTCAGTTAAATGTTTTACACTTTCTAGTAAGTCATCAGGTTTGCGTTTCTCTATTTCTGTTTAGCCATTAGGGTAAAAGTTTTAAATGTTAATGAATCATTAATAAAAGGTTCTACAATAATCCATCAAGTCTGCAGATGTAAATATTAATCAAACCAATAATTCAACAATAGCTCTGGGTCCACTGACATGTATTAAGGTGCACAGTATTGTAATCACTAATGTATGAGAATGGGGATTGTTCTGAATTGTATTTTCTCTCCAGTCAAAAATGTATCATTGCTTTTCAATGATCAGATAACAACGTACTTACATACTTAATAACTGACCACAAAGAGAGGGATTTATTTATTACCTTCTTATGACAATAGAAAGGAGCATGCTGGAAAGGTGGATGTTTAACTGCTGCACAGTTTGACTGTGGCTGTCATACTCATACGCTGATGAAAACAGTTACCTCCCATTTGTTTGGAACTTCTTTTGATCAGGTTTAAGATCACACACACACCTACGCTTTGTGGCTGCCTGTGGTTTGTTTCACTCACCTGCTGGTTGAAGTCATCAGTGTAAACACTGCTGCTGTCTGCCATACACACACAAGATGCTGTGCTTGACAACTGAAACAACAGGATCACTTCTCTGTTAACATGAACAGGTCATACAGTGTACAGAGCATTAGCTTATCATTCACCAGCACCAGCAAAATAGGATATTACTATGATACAATGCCATTGTTATTTGTGATATGCTAACATTTATTACCTTTACTGACTGGAAATTCTGTTCTCATTGGAAAGCATTTTCAAAATCTGGAGTTTTCAGTGTGTTCATCTCACATGCGTGTGTTTTAGTCAGTTGTCAGTTTACAATGCAGTGGTGTGATTGAAATAATGCCTTACAGCAGCTGGTATACAGACCAGTGTTATGGGTATGTGGGTGAGAGAATGCTGGCTTGTGATGCCAAGCGTTTGTGCACTTTAGAGAGTAAAGGCGGTATTAAATCCTGTTATTGAAGTGTTATTTGGACACGTAAACACTGTTTTATGAGAGTAAGGCTAAGCAGAGTTTGCTGCAGGGTGCGGCAGTTTGTGTACATCAGAAGACTTTGACACCTCATGTCTCAGCAGTGGATGATATGCAAGAGCTTTGTAATTAATAGTTCATTACAATGATGTTGTTTCTTGCTTTGTAAGGAAATGGGAGCACTGCATTGTGTTGAACCAATACTGGCAGTATGCAAACTTATGCCAAGGTCATTCTTGTGCATAATATGGAAATAATGAACTTATAAATAAGAAGATTGTTATGTTTAAGTGACTGAATGAAATTCTCTCTGTTTTTCTATCAGGTCTTTCTCTTGCTGTTCAGCGCTTCTCTCAGTCTCTACAGGAGTTCCAGTTTGAATGTATTGGAGATGCTGAGACTGATGATGAGGTCAATATAGGTGAGGTGAAAATGCCCCTAATGATCTAGAACATTAGGAGCTA